ATATATTATATATATCGTGTAGATTGTAAACGACCCCGTAGAAAAAACACTAAGTTATGAAATAAAGGAAAGGTAATGATATTAAATACTATATCGATTTATTAAATTAATTATTAACTATTGCACACGAAACAAGTAATGACATATGTACTTGGCTATAGCGATGTTATGTTAAATGTTGAAATAATTAAGGCGCAAGATTTTTCCATAAAAATAATTAGTTAAAATTATCATTAAAAAAAATTATATGTAATAGAATGTTTAAAATGAAAATTTTAACGAATGATTTTTATAGGATCATCATAAGCTCCAAATAATTATTATCGGAATAAATACATTTACGTTACATTAAAGAGCGGTGCCCCAACAATAAAAATTAATAATCGAACAACATAGAACTAATAAATACGTATTGCGTTCTAAATTGAGAAATATTAACTAATAAAATTTTTAACATTTTAACTTGAATCATTATAATTATGACAAGTTAATCAGGAAAGATTTCATTTCGAACTTAATTATGCATTTTGGGTCCAATAATTTCAATTTGTCCTGATTACCGTCTAATGAGATAATCTCCTGAAACTCATTAATATTCAGTATTGGCTTAAAATATTACCTAATTAATAAAGTTAAAATATCGCTGCCATAAACGTTAATTTAACTTAAAACCCGTTTCTCAAATAGTGCATATAAAAAAATTGTCCTTAATTAGTTAATAAATTTCATATAATTTACAAGGTCCTTTACAACAGAGACATTTAATTTTTTTTCTTTTTATTTATTATTATAAAAAAAGAAGATAATATATATAAGGTTCAGTAGAAAAAGCAGACTTTTGTCAGCCACCATGTTTATGAAGTTATATGCGGCTGACTATAGACAGATTATTCCACTGAATCTCATAAAACACAAGGAAGCGCGAATTTACGAATTCCCTCGAAAAGTTTTATTAAATTTCTACACTCCTTGAAAAAGAATTTTTAGAATTTCATCTATCAACATTTATTATATAAACTGATTTTTCATTATTTATGCATTAATTTCAACATTATTTTTCTATACTGTTTATGATTTTTAAAATGTTATCGATTTCTTATAAAAATATCTTTTTTCCATAAAATGTTTCACTGATTGTTAAAACTCAGAGATTCCAGTTTTCCATGTATACTGTTTCAATTTCCTATATCTTAACCTTTTTTCACGAATCCATTTTGATTATTAGGGAACTTGGATTACTTTAGCGTCCCTTTGGCTCGATCCCATAAATAAACCCGACGAAAATACCCGAAAAACGTTGTGCTAAAATGAAACTGCTTATAACATTTCCTGGTGAAAATGAGAATTCGCCGAAAATTCCATAAAAATTTCATTTCTTTCGTCTTTATTGCCAAATATCAAATGAGTGTCAGCTTTTACAAATATTTATACATATTTATAGGAGACTTTCACATATAACATATTTAATAACCAAGCATCGTATTTTAAAATAAAGATTCCGATTTATTTGAAAAATAACTGTAATTAATAGATTAGTGTCAAGGAGGTTAAGTACCTTTCACCCAATATATGTTTCTGCAATTTTTTTTTAATGTCTCAACATTTTTTATGCTGGATTTTTCATTGGCAGCAAAATGGGGAAGGAAAATGGAATAATTACTACTCATAACCATTCGTATTGTAAGTATAAGTTATACTTTAGGTGACACCGAACATTGCTGAGGTTAATAATAAGCGGAATGAGGGCGTTAAGGTAATAAATTGGTGATAACTCTTTTTTACACTAGTTTCTTCCTGCACGGAATATTTATTGGTCTTCAATGCTCGTCGGCTGATCTAAATTCCAGATATGTAACTACCGTGTGTGTTACGATGAATAATAATTACATCTCAGACATCAACTTATTTCATTTAGACTTCTATTTTTTATTATTATGTATAATATTATATTTGCCAATTTCGTAATTATCATTTTTTTAAAGCAACAATTATTTTTGTAACTACACTGAAAAGAAAATTTATTTGGTTCAAATAATCGATTACTTGTCAATTATCAAATATAATTATTTATTTAAACCAACTGAATATTTACTTGAATCAAATAATTTCTGTATTTGAAATAAATATATATAATTATAAAAAAGGAATAAACTATATAAAAATAATGATGCAATAAATTTAAAAATTTTTAACTACCAATCCTTGTCGGAACATGTGTTTTATGATTAATACGCATCGAATGAGAGGGCAGAAAATACTGTATATTACGTGTAGATATTATGTAAATTACATAAACCTGCAATTACCTAACATACCTATATTTTCTATTAAAAAATAATCTCATATTGAACGTTTGAGTCGCAGTTACATGACACGTTTTAAATTTTTCCACGTTGATCAATATCTACAACATATACTGCCATGCGGACCAAGGAAATAGATGCCATACACTTAAAACCAAATTTATTTAATTCAAATAATTGGTTACTTGACTAGGGATATTACTATAACACCAAAACTAAAAGAATTTATAAAAGTCACGTCGGACTGATACTAGTTTCTTACTACTGATACAAGTTTATTATTCATATAAAAATGAAAAGAATTTTAACAATTTTTTTTCTTAATCGACTTTGATGATAGAAAATATATAATTTATTTGACTTTTTAGTTATAAAAGTCGGCCTCATAAATAATTTGCTTGGGCCAGACGAAGGCAGCGTGGAAATAAGTGGATCTGAGGTTAAAAGGATTCTCTTGTACTCGTTAAGACAGTCAGAAGGACAGCGGATGCTCGCTTTTGGAGAGGTCGTTTCCGTTAAGCGACGCGGCTCGTCTACCTGCTATTTCAAAAGACATGTGGTCCTACACCATTTCAAGACATATTCTCATCCTCTCCAGGGAAATCAATCTGATTTAGCAAAGAGTAACCAGAAAAAAAGAAACATTCTATGAACAATCAAGACCTATTTTTTCATTTGCAAAGAAGGAGAAACATTATAAATTTATTCTATTTGGTTTTATGTGATTGTCTTAAACGACAAAAAGAGTTAGCTATTTTTGAAAATTGCTTTTCATATCATTAATAAAAACAGTCTATTAAACATAATTCTGTTAAAAGTTGTCAAATTTCTTGGAAAATCATTAAGTTACATTCTTTTTAGGTCTTTAACCCACTTTTTTTCTATATACATATAGGCAAGTAATATGCGAAGAAAAAAATTCCCCTTTTCCTCACTCTTAGGTCATACATTACTTATAATAGATGAAATAGCGACATTTCTTTACAAAAAAAGGTTTTCTCATTTTTCGAAAAAAATTTCGATCCGTTTCATATTATCCCTTAAGTGCAAAAAACCAACCCTTATCAGTGGATATAATCTTAAATCATAGTTACGATTTTTTTTATTCAGTTTTTATTGAAAAAAATATTTTAAACCTTTTTTCAAAAAGTATTAAAAAAATCGCGCTGAAATTTTTTTGTTGATTGTATTTTCGGTCACTTGCAATTTAGGAGAAATGAAGATTCGGTGAATTAGAAATTTCATTATCAGGTAACATTTAAAAATTGTTGATAATTAGAAATAATAAAACAATAAGAATGAGAGTGACTTGAGCTTAAAAAATTCTATTTAATCAGCTGTATACTTTCTTAAAGTAAATATCCTTTAAATTGAGGGATGAGGTTGTGAGTTGGAGCTCATCCCGAGTTTCCCAAGGATCGTTTCTCACATTTCAGTAAATATTTACTTTCTCTGTGAATCAAAATGGAAGCATGAAACTTTAATCGAATGTTATTTTTCATGCAGGTCAAGGAGTGCGAATCAATTATTAATTTTCAATTTTGACAAGGAAAATTGTAAATTTCAATACACATTTAAACTTAGAAAATATGTCTCTGTTATTTCAAGAAATTATGCTAAAACCTACAATTATATATAAAACAAAAAAAGGTCTAACTAATCACGAAATTATTAAGCGCCATTTGAGGGTATAAATTTAGATTTTACTGATAAAATGCTGTAGTTTATAGATTATCAATTACGAACTAGAATATTTTTACTTGAAAATATAAATATTGTTAAAGTTACGCGCAACGATGAGATTATTGATCCACATAGAAATATGTAATACATACAATGTGATAAAAGGCACCTTTACTTAGAACTAAATTGTCAGGTGTAACACAGCTAATGGATTAGATATTGTTGACATTTCACGTAATTCATCCGACTGCATTTAATTTTCATTTTTCTTTTCACAATTGTAGTGTTTTAGAAAAAAGGATCCATGATTTTAAAATTATAGACAAAATAATAATAATTACTTTATGTAGGAACACATAATTAAAGTTAGGATTGTTTGAAATTCTGTTTGTGTAAGCTGAACATATTATATATACCTTTTAAACAAGGATTTGACACTTGAGAGCTGAGTTTGATAAATTAATTCCAACTTTCGAGAATGCTTATCGAACAAAAAGAATGTTATTTACTGTGCTTAAAAGCGATCACGAACCGTTTTAATGAGCTCACCCGATTTAATACTTCCATTTATACTTATGAAAGGATTATTGTGTAAAATACAATCATTGTGGAAAGTTATAACGAATACTGAGATAATAAATACATTTAAAGAAAAAAAAATTTGTACTTGAAAATTATTAAGTTCTCGATAAAATCACTAGATGCTTTGTATAATATAGGATAAAACCCTCTTTTCCAAAGAATGAACCTTAGGTCCGAAATAAATTCAATTTTTTATCCCCTCGCCTCAAAGTTCACCTACACATCATTTACAAATATTCTCTTTCAAAGTAACAACCCTGTATAAAAGCATTAGTATATCCCATTTCGTTTTAAAAAATACAAAGAAATTTAATCAAATATCAAAAGTGAAAGAAATAATAGACATTCTATAAATAATAGATACTTGAAATTTATAGTCAACATTAAACGATGTTATTATATGAAGAATATTAAGTCAATAGAAACACTTACCGAGTTGTTGATGCTAAATTTAGGAAACCAAATCGCTGATGTCAATGTTGCAATCTAAAAAAATCAAACGAAACATTACAAGTAATTCTTACAAGTATAGTTATTATAAATGTTTGTTAATTTAAATGTAAATATTGAAAACAAAATTTATTTAATTTAAATAATCGATTATTTGACGATTAAAATTAAAAAAAATAAGGTATAAAAAATTATATAAAATAAAATCGTTCAATTTCAAGAGGATTATTTGCTTTTCCTGAAACGCGGAAAATTTAATCTCATTTCTAGAGAATTTTTGACCCGGAATAAACGTATAATCTTTAACCTTTGTGTATTTTTTAGCAAAGATTGTTTTTTACTTGTTTTTTTTTTGTATTCGATGATAAAGTGAATTAATCACGGGACGAGGCTCAATGGGATTATATTAGATTACTTTGGGTGTCTGATTAAAACAACTTGGGTAACCGTGGTGTAGACGGACTTTTCCTTTTCATGTGAAATCAAAACTTTTTCCAAATGTCTCGTTTTCTTTTAGTCCTGTTTACAAAGAATTAGAAGTTTTCTCAGCTCTGACGAATTCAAACACTGCGATTTCGCCCAAGACTATTTATGCGAGAAAAAGTTACTTAAATCCCCCTGAGATGTGTTTTGAATATTGTGTAGCTTCAATTCTAGATCTCTATATAGACCGCACACACAATTGGAAGCCTTAATATTGGAAACATTTGTTTCATTCCTTAACTTTTTTTCGGGGAGACGTGAAAGAAACTTGTAGATATACGCATTAAAAAAAAATAAAAAAAAGAGAAACACAGAGAAAACAAGAAAACATTCAATCATCCCTGTGAAAAACTTTAGTATATAAAAAAATTACCCTTTGGGGAAAAAAGGACATCTTTTTCTATACAGGGAAAGTAATTTAATCTGTATATGAACTTTAGATATAAAGTGTAACAGTTAATAAGATTCTGAAAGTGAAAGTAATTCTTGTTATGCTGTAAAAAATATAAATAAAAAATATTGTCAGCAATACTTTTTGACAAAAATAAATTTAAATACATAGCATCCAATTTCTAGAAATATTCTACCTAATATTTTGAAAATCCGATTTTTGAAAACTGTAATCCCGTTTTTGTAACTCAAATTATGGCTAAAGTGACAAAGCGATAGTCTCTGTCATGTAATTAATTCCCTTTTGTATTCGGACTAAAGCAACGCTTGGTACACGCTTTGTCTATAGGTCCCGAGACAAACTTCTAGGCTGAGCATTATATTCAACGACTTGCATTATTCATACACAACTCGACATTTCCCTGAATAAATGTCTGAAACCCATTCAACATTTTTTTTGAAAGTAGCATACAATAATTTTTTTGTACGAATTATCATTTGATTTTGAGAGAAATTTTAAAACGCCGTATTTGACGGCGTTGACCGAAATTTTCTTAATTAATTAATCCGAGTTTTCGCCTTATCCGAGGTAGGTCCAGTCCACATTAGCTCGGATAACCGGAGTCCTACTGTATTTTGGTCAAATGCAAATTTGGCTATTTGACAAATTTTGCTAAATAACAATTCGTTTAAATAAAAAATCTCTTTATTAAAAATTCGAGTTTATTTATTTCTACACCGTAGAAATTCCAACAAATTCAGTTTGGAGGAATATTTATCTGTATTTGAATGATTTTTAACAAATCATTTAAAAGTGAGTATTATTAAAATAAATGTTGCTTTACGCTATACTCATATGCACTTTATGCAAAACTCTCTATGTTAGTATCAAAATGAACCTTCGCTCCAGGCATTCAATTAGCAAAATGTTTTCCAGACTACCTTCTGCCTCATTGCCTCATTTCTAAGTAGTTAATTACTGAAATTCGAATAATATTATACTATTATTCTTAACTTTCATATTATAATTACTATTATCTAATGAAAACAAATTCTATGACTTGAAAATTCTTTTAAAAAATTTCTTTCAAAAGTTAAAAAAAAAAGTTTCTAATATTATTGTACATGTGATAATTTAAAAGCTTTTACAGCTTCATTATTAGCATCAAAAAATTTTTATACGGACAGAATGCATTTTGAAATGCGATAATTGAGATTTGCATTCCTTCCGCTTTTGAGAATGCTTCAATTTTTCTTCCAAGAATAGTTTAATGAAATAATAAACATAAACTTTAATGCAGCATAGATAGATATAAGACTGAATAGAAACGTATTTTTGTAAAAGAAAAAACAGGGAGAAAGGTGGAAATTAAACCGGAGTGTAGTAAAACGTCTAATCGCAATAGAAGGAAAAGCATAAAAGTGCACAAAGGAAAGAGGAATTCAAATAGAGTTCACTTAAGCTGAAAATTAACATCTGCTACGAAAAAGGATTTTTTAAATGAAAGAATAAATTGAAAATGTTAGGTTAAAAGAGTAAATTATGTTTGGGAACTGTAAGCTAAAATAAATATCAAAAATTTGGTTAAGAGTATCGGAAAGAGGAAAAACATTAATTTATATTAATGAAGAAAACATTTTTCCTAAATTCATATCGAAAATTTAGTGTCTATGTGCGGTTGCAGCTGCATATATTATCTTTTTTTCTTTGCTGTCAATTTATGTATATATTAATGTATAGCAATTTTGCCTGATTTCATGATTTCGTTTGTCAAATTTGCAAAGAATTTTTATCATTAATTCGTTATTAAAATGTAAATTGGGGTATATTAGTATAATAAAAGGCAAATTTAATAAAATCTATTGTGTTTGATAAAAATAAAAATTTTAATTGAAATTTTTTACTTTTATTACAATTTGGCAAAATCTATACATATTTTACTTTTTCATAAGCTGTCCCGATGACACGCTAGTGCCATTAAAAATTTCATTCTCGTAAAGCAAGTAAAATCTGATGCTCTGTTAAAAAAAATCACCTCATCGTGAATATTTAAAGCCTTATAAAAATGTTGATAGGTAAAAGCGAAAAATAAAGAAACAAATATGATGTTGTTTATGACCAAATCATAGAAAAACAATTTTCCCCAGCTATTAAATAGATTTTAAAACTTCTACTGTAGAAAAGTGACCCGAATGTTTTAAAAGTGTACTTTCCATTTTTACGACTATTTTGTCTAGTTTAAAATAGTTTCTTTAAAGAAATAAAAAAAATATCACTGGAAAAATTATTTCAAAGATATACAAAAATTATATTCGCTGAAAATTTCGAATATTTCAATTTTAAGCCTTTGAATAATAATCTTTCGGTATTCCTTAAGTATTTCTTGAGTTATTTTTATATTTATAAAGACTATAAAGGAAGTAAATATTTTGACTCAAAGTAAATACCTGTTTTTGATAAAGTATCCTAGCTTCAATATAACCCTTTGAAACGCAGTAACATACATGCTTTACGTGTTAGTTTATTTCAATAACTTTTTTAAGATTACTAGTTTTTATATTTTATCCCATCATTGCATCCCGCGACACATTAAAAAAAAATTCCAAACGATGTATCTGCAATTTATATTGTATATACATACATATAAAACAAGAATGCTTTAATTTAAAGAAAATATTTTACTCCGGAAAATAAATTTTTCTCAACACATTTCTTCTATAAAAATATTTTACAAAAATAGAGAAACAAATCTGAAAATATAAAATAATTTGCAAAGTTTTATGAAAAAATTTGTTATAAAAGACTTTTATCGTTTAATACTGTGCAAAGTTCAGAACAAAACTCATTCTTAAAAGAAATAAAAATTTTTAATGTCGGAATTTTTTAATTGAAAAAATTCAGTTGATACATAAATTTTCGTGTTCATCAATGGCAGTTTTATTAATTATTATACTATATCGTTTCTGTCAACTTTTCACATGGTAAAATAATTAATTACTCCAATAGGTATACTGAAAAAAAATTTATTTGGTTCAAATAAATTGTGTTGTTTGATAATAGTCAAGTAACCGATTATTTGAATAAAATAAATTTTTTTTCAATGTATAGTGAATAAAAATTTTTGATAATATATTATCTATAAAATAAAAACAATTTGAACCGAGAGACGACTATAAGGCTATAGTATAAAAAATAAATTCAGTGAATAGTAAAAATGGCGTTTCAATAATTGATCTGTCATGAGCAGTGAAACTTTTTTTATTTATTCGAGTGTGCTTTTTATACTAGCTTTTATTGACGTCCTGTTACAAAACTCATTGTTGTATAAATATTAATAAAGAGTATTATGTATATAGAATTTGTTGGTTACTCGGTTGCATCAAAACTGATTGTCAGTAATACCAATTAATCCGTTATAATTTCTCTGGTTTGCTTAGGTCCACTGGGGAACTTGGAATTCACGAGACCAGTGCCAATCTGGGGCATTGACATTCGCCAATAAGGATATTATCCATTAACGAAATACGATCATGCTCTTGTTATTTTTCTTTATTTATTAACATTTTGCAAACACTTAAACCGAATAATATAATTATCCTACTTTCCAATAGAAGCACGAAATGTTTTCATGAAATTTTATCGATATTCACTTTTCATAAAAGAGGATGTCATGGACTCTCTCCTTCTCTCTATCCTGAACGATATTCCATTGAACCCAATAAATGATACCCTCTCTATATTTCTCTCCTCTCAAAAAATATTCGTATTAAGAGATCAACTGATATTAGCAAATTATTAATGAAATATGCAATCAATTCATTTTTTATACTCCAATTTTATGAAACAAAATCATCTCACCTGGGTATTTTTATTATTTATATAATGTTCATGTTTTCATATTACATTTCCATGTTTGTTCGATATACATTATTTGCATTGTGTATATGCACTAGGCAAAGGATGAATATAAAAGTAAATATTTTCCTGGATGAGCTATGTTATATATATATTTGATTTTTCCTTTTGGGTATATAAGATATGTTTAATGCGCAAATAAGGTTTATACTTGCACGAATATATTATTGATTTCCGGTGATGTTTCATGTTTGGGCGTCGCACTTTGAAATTTTGCTTACAAGCAGTATACATACCTGCAGAAGCATATGGCGTTTGTCAACGTATATTGCATCTATCGCAACTTACTGCATCAGCACTTATGCAAATATACAATTTGTATGCTATATATATTTGCAAAACAATTTCATTTCCTTCATGCCAGCAACATGTACAATTCAATTACATCATTACGAGATAAAGATCATCAATATTTTCCAAATTCGAAAACGCTCTTATTGTATGGTGTAATAATAATTTTCGTTTATTTTAATGTAGCTTCCTATTTTCCTGAAAAGGACAAGAGACGAAAAAGTAAAATAATTGAGATTCACAGTATGCACAAGTTATATTCCGCAATACTAAAAACCGTTATTGTGGTAGTTTTGAACCAAGTGAATTTGTCCTAAGCATCGAAATTATGTTAACCTTACGAACCAATTTCTCTGTTTTCTTTGCTTCACTTTGTTTCATTAAAACCGTAAATACTTCAACTATTCTCACAGCGACAATATATATAAAAAGTCGGGGGGTTTTTTTTTGTAAAAACAACGACCAAGTTGACAATACCAAAGGACAGATTTTATCTAAAGAGTTTCATTTAATTGGGAATCTTAAATGTAAACTTGGCAAGAAATAAAGTTAAGTTTAATTTAGTAAAATTTTAATAAAATGTAATAAGATTTTAAAGGAAATCGAGTTAAAAATTAAAATTAAATTATTGTTTTAACATTTTTAATGTTGATTCTAGAAACACGATTTTTACATTTTTATTTTATTTATATTTTCTTTTTTATCCAGTGCAATAAATCCTTTAATCACGATTGGCAGTGAAACCGCTACGTGGAAACAAATTTGTTCATACGGTTCAGATGGATCGATACAGAAGTAGAATCTCATGACACACTCATTAACGACTTAATTAAAATTCATTAATGATTTCAATTGGAATAAATTTCATTCAAATTTTGGATCAATAAAGCGGTTTTAAATTTCTAAAGACATTACAAATCTACTCAATTTCTTTACTTCTAAATACTTGTAAATAAATCAACAATTTGATGAAACAAAAGTGAAATTTTGGCCAAACGAAGAAAATATTTTTTACTTAGCACGGCAGTAATTAATATAACGATTAATTTGAAACAAATTGTGATTGGTGAAACCATAATTAAAATAATTAATATATCAACTTGTTTTATTTAAATTTGTCAACAACTTGTTTTTTCTTTTCATAAAAAACATAGGTATATCAGAACATTGTAAAGTTTTGCGAAGTTGTGCTCGTGCATAGATAAGAGTTCCTCTCATTTAATTATCTCTTATACTCAGTGCTTTCTCATAATAGAAGCACGTGCAAACTACATTCAAAAGAAATCCTAGTGGTAATAATAAACTCGGTACTTTTTTTTACAATATCTTTTGTAGATTAACCCCCCAACTATACAAAGAGAACGTGAAAAAATATGTGCAGTAAAGAGTCTCATTTCACTTAAGAAAATGCACAGGAGCCGACCAATCTTCAACTTTATCCTTTTATATTGTACTCTGTTGTGTATTAAACTTATTGAAGAGGCGTTTATGGGCACAATGAAAATATAAAAATAATACTTTTTTCATTTCCCTCTTTTTAGAGATAATCAAATTATAGCTTAAATTTGCACTCTAGTGTCATAGCTCTTTTATTTCGCATGAAATGAAATTTACAAAAAATTACTACAAAAAGAATTGTTTCAAGATTCTAGACTTTCAAAAATATTATTTTTTATTAATTTTCCAATAATTTATAATAAGAGTCAATGATAATAATAACTGACACCTTCATTAGAATAAGATGGAAGTTTAATGAAATGAGTAAAACATCTGAGAACAAGAGGGGTTGTGATTGTTAATTCTTTTGAGAAACATTCGCTTCATTGCATTTACAGTGGACGGCTAACATCTAGATATTCTGACAACGCTTTTAGAACTTTCGGAATGCTCAGGTACCGCGTAATTTGATTCACGTTCCATTTAGTCTGACGCAGGAAACAGTAAATGACGTAAAACGAATGAGGCACTCCCTTTTTTTCTAAAAGAAAAAAATACACTGAGGAACAAAAGCACGACAATGAATCGTATCTTGCTCATTTTATATATTTACTTCACTAAAAAGTTCATTCTCCAGTATATATGTTCTAAAAGCTGCCTTCGTGTCATATCTTGTTGAAAATTGTAATAAAATATATTTCTCTTAAAAAGAGCATGTATGGGATGTAAAATTTATTCCTGTAAACAAATCCTCAGATTAACTGTGCACTTATAAAGAAAAGAATAGGTAATCTGAACCTAACTTTCGGAATCCTTATAAAGACTGGATCGAAATCGCAGGAAGTTCTTAAGTAACTTTGGATAGCATATCATAAAAGTTTTACTACTCTTTCCCTATTCGTTACCATAAGTTGTAAAATTTGAATAACAAAATTTCGCTCTGGACAATAAAATAAATGAATTAAATTTACAAAATTTATATAGAAACTCCAAAATAACATATTTATTAAATTACATCTATTTCATGGAGCATTAAAATTTTATACACCAATTTTGAAAGTCACGTTCATTGAGATTACGAAACTCCCATAATAAAAAGGACATATATATATATATATATATATATATATATATACTTGTCACATCTCACATATGTCATACATGTCAAATACTATTATAAAACGGAAAATCATGTATCATCCCCATTTATATTTTTTGTAGGCAACTCTCCTGTGGTATTCTTGAGGGGATATTTCGGAAATTTTTAATTCCGGAGATTTTTGCCCTCTTTGGACGATCGCGTAGGTCAGAGAATAAAAAATACTTCTAATATATTGATTATTATAATGTTCTTTTCAAAATTCGTCGAAAGAATGATTAAAATAACAAGAAATAATCTCTTAGATATTAAATAGAAATAATGTTATAAGTAGAATCATTATAACAATTCTATAGATGATAAATATAAACGTCGCCTTTTTAATAATCCATTTATTTCAAAAGTGCGATCGTTATATAAAATCTATTTCCCGAAATAATATTATCGGCGCCAGAAAATTTAAACAAAACTTGAAAATTCAAATTTCATAAAGCGAAAAGTGTAAGGCAGAGTCATAAAGTCATCGTTTGCAACAACTTTTTCGCTCGTTAAATTTTCTCTACAGGAAAGAGGAAGAGCGATGAAATAAATGTTTCGATGCTTTTATCGATTCACTTGCATTACTTTTCGTATGCTTTGGGCGAATTATACTACATATTCGGAGTTGTTCTACTCGAAAATCAGGGGAATCTTGAACGCTTTCCAAGTTTCTTCACAATCAGAATTATAATTTATCTTCTGTTATATAAAGCAAACGTTGTCAAAAAATGTATAAAAAGGGAATTTTTCATTGTATTGACTTCTTTTTCGGTTTGTCAAATTAATTTTATTGAAAAAATAGTCCTAAATAATAATTTGTAAATCTATTGCAATTCGACATAATATTAATAAATTTCGTGTTACTATTTTCTTATATATATTTCTATAAACTTAAAATGATTCCGAAAAAATGATCATGTCTTCTCTCCTAGTGTATATAAAATAAATAGCATGTCAAGCAGAATTTAGGTCCATGAACAGAATGCAATATAAAGTACAATAAAGTTCTATCTGTTACGTTTCAATGTTTGACTTATGTATATAGAACGAGTCATAAAAGTAAACAAAAACAGTTTTATGTCATTTGTACCTATCTGTTATTATTTATCGATTTTTCTTCATTCTTTTGAAATTTCCATGCAAAAATCCCCTGAACCAGAAAATAGTTTTGTGCAACAAAATAATATGAATCGAACGGTAATAACTAAATAAATTTTTTATAACAAATTAATATAAAACTGTTAAAAATATTTTAAGAATAAAAAAATCTCAAACGGGAATATATGACACAAAGTTCTCTGAGTATTTAAAATATCTTTTAAATCGTTTTGCATTATTATTTTTTTTTTTTTTTTTGCATTGAGAGCATATGACAAAAGCATTAAAATCCACTTGAAAATTTTCTGCATCGAGCAATATTCCGCTTGAATGACATTGTCGAAGGGTTAATCACCCGTAAATTCGTTTAGCGAGTTCGATTATAATATGCCTAATTTTATGCGAGACAAATCTTGAATATATCGATTTACAATATGTATAATATATGTATAATTATTGGAATATCAGAAAAAGAAAATGTCCTCAAACGCGTGAGATTTCACAGCTGATAGTTCAACTTTTAGTTCACTTCAATTATTATGTGCGTGGTTATACCAAGCCATATCAATTGCTCAACATGTATAATTATCGTAAACGCAAGTCATAATTATATCACGACAAGCAATGCTAGTTCAACTAATGAATATATATGTACGAATAAAATTTAATCAATTTTCAGTAAGATTTTAAATAGCACAAAAAATATATTCTCAAATCTCTTTAAAAAAATTGTTCAATGGGGAAAAACCAGTGGCACCTACAAGTTTTTGACAATACTATATAGCAATAACAAAATTTCTAGCATACTATAAAAAAAATTATAAAATCTGAATAACTATTAATACATACTGCTCTCATCATTGTCCGTGTCGTTGATATCAAATTGAAAATCCGCATTGTTGATTACTGACGACGTAGAGATCTGAAAAACGAAAAATGTAAACATATATTAGGAATAATTTAAAAGTTACATTTAAAGCATCTTTTTAAATTTGAAAAATTTTGTCAAAAAAGAGAAATGAGGATTAAATAGACTCTTCTTCATTTTCATCATTGGGCAAAAATTAAGAAAACTTGGAGAGCTTGAATTTGAGCAAAATACTAAATCTCAAGAGACTGATAAAAAAGTAAAATCCCGTATATACACATTAATCCCGAAATGTCAAGAGGAAAGTCAACAATGACTTATTTTCTCAAGAGGGCGCCTTTGGAACTTGAAAGAGTTTTAAGAAAAACTTTTTTTAAGATACTTAAAGGTATCAGATGTTTAAAGCTGTGCCACACTAGAAAAGATAAAATCTTTTTCATTTCAAACTGATTGATTGCAAACACCAAAGTCCTATTATATGTTTTCCTCAAAACAGCCCCCGGATTTTACTCTTGGCTTTGACTTTAATCGACTTTGAGAAGACGTCAACGGCTTTAACAGCCTCCCTTACTATGCGGTGTCTTCCGCCACGTGGCACTAATTGGCTAATGGAAGACAAGTAACTGATGCGTGAAATAAATATTGTCTACAGAGAAAGCGTCATTTAGTCAGAAAATTCATATCCTTGAAAGTTATTTCGTGTAAAGGACAATGAACTTGAAATTCTATTTTCCACAACACTCTAAATCAAAGGACTTATTTTATAAAAAAATACTCTTAAAAATAATAGGTAATAATTTTAGAACAAATTATTGCTACGAAAGGTACATGTACTGTTTAATGTTAGAAGATAATTTCTCCTCTGAGTTCCTCGACTTATAAAATTCACTTTTCCACTTCTCAATTTTGACGGGTAATTTCCGTTTTAATTAAAATATAAATTATATCATTTTAATTTAGAATTGAATTTTAAACGTTTGTAAATAAATCAGAAGAATAAACAAGAATCTTAGGGGGAATAAAGAGTGACAGAACTTTAAGAGCTCCTAAAAGTCATAGTAAAAGCACTTTAGGGGAAGATAAATAAGGTAACAAGCGTGCGTTAAAATACAGAATAATCATGAGAATTTCCCTTTGTCTAAATATATATATATAAAAGAAAGGAAAACGAGAAATGGCAAACAGAGGAGGAAATAGAAATGGAACAAAAGAGAGTAAAATGAGGAAATAAAAGATCCACGAGACAATAGAGAGAAAATTGAGTCGTGTCTTTATCAGGTAACACAAACTGATACAGTCAAGTGTTTACTCTATTTTTCTTTTCGTTTTATTCTATTCAATGCAGGTTAGTTTTGTTATACTTTTCCATATTTTTTTTTGAGGCAACAAAATGTAACAGCGAGGAAGCAGAGGGCGATTGAGTAAAGAAAAGTAAACCGAGTATCTGTTATAACGAGGGTTCTCAACAGCTAACATCATTTCCGCGTGACAAATTGTTTTCCTCTCTTCGTCTTCAGAAAGGAACTTATTTTCTCGACCTCTGTCAACCATTTTCAATATCATGATACACACTGATCGAGACCATCGGCCAATCATCCTTCTTCACTTGCTTTCTGTATGACAGCAATTTCATTGTTAAACATCTTTTTTTTGGCTTCTCTCAAGGGATGATGCAACTTTTGCCTGTTACGTAAATTTTTATTCTTCACAGAAATAATATAGATTTTTTCCTGTATTTTTAACTCTTCCAAATATGGCTTTTAAATTCTATGTCATATTTAATTCACCTCATTATTTTAGAGATACAATTTTAAATTAACTCTACATAATATTACCAGACATTATTATTATTATTTTAAAATTTTTAATAAATTCCAATTTTGGACAAGTAAATATTTTGTGCCTATTCGTCAATTTCCTGTTGGTCTAAATTCATCGGTTGAATGGATTATAAAGTGAATATAGATATCAGTGGCGTATACTTGTGAATAAAGCGTCAAAAGTTGGAATGGTTCCAAAATTGCTGCGTTTGCGATTTTAAATACTTCTTTCAAAGTTGTTTCAAAATTTGGAACTACTCCAAATTTATGGTACTTACAACTTTTTTCAACTTTCAAGAAATATGAAATTGAAATTTTTATCAATATTGACCGTACACATTTAAACTATTGGAAACTATTCAAAACTATGATTGCAACATTGACTAAAATTTCTTTCAATAAATGTATGTAATAATTTAGTTTTTAATTAAAATTAAAAATTATGCAATATTAAATGAAAGTAAATTGAGAGAAATAAATCAATGTTAAATTGGAATAATTTCATTTCATATAAACTTCAATATCCAACTCTATATTGATAAATTTTTGCTACTCAATGTCTTAATTATTTTGGAATTAACGTTTCCTAGTCCGAAATCGAGTAGTAATTATTGGAGTTCAAACTGTTCTACACAGTCACATCGGTATCACCTAATTGTATATATCAACAACAAACATATTGAACTCTTTTTTTACTTAAAAAAAATATAAAAGATTTGTTAATTGTTTTCTTTAATTCAGAATTATTGTACTTGTTGAAATATAAAAATGAAAGAAAAAATAAAAACCACTCTACGATACACATTTGATGTTGCCGTTTTATCCATTTTATTTTACTCTTAGAAAACTGAAGACACAGAAGAAAGCACAAGTCGACGAGGGTAAACTAAACGGTAATCGAATTTCTTTTCTGTCGTCGTACTCTTTCTTGTAGAACAACATTTTCTAGTAGTGACAAATGGCGTCAAGAGTTAACTTGATAATTTAACCCCAATTTTACTTTAACGTCAAAAATTTTTTAAACTGTTATAAATAAGAACTTGTTTATAATTCTAAAATTTTCAATTTCCATCTTGGAAACAAATTTTTGAATTTATGGACACGAATTTGCAATGAAAATTAAAAACAAAATAAAATAGAAATTAGAATTCCTCTATAGCAACAGATTTGATTAGGTCACTCATCAAAATAATATATTAAACGTCACACTCGGAAGCTGTGGTTGCCTGAGGCTTTGAAGTTAATATAATATATCATCAAATTCTTCAGCCCTTATGGACACAATTTAGATTTTGAAATTTGCATCAATAATATTCACACAAATGAAAATCACTATAATTTATAGCACTCTCCGATATTACTCTGATTTGTGACCTGTCCTTTTGGTTACAAAACTGATTATAATGCTTCTAATCCAAAATATCATCGAAATAATTAAATCATATATACATATATATATATATATATATATATGTTAGTGTATTTTAGGATTATGTTATTTGAATTGGAATTTATTATGCGAAAAGAAAATAATTGAATCATAGCAAATTTTCAAACTCTGCAACATAGCATAGACTTCCGGTGAGTAACTGTTTTAACTTTAGAATCATTCAAATCTTTAAACTATAGCTTCCCTTTAAATTGCTAATTCAGATCTGTCATGGGGGCGTGGACAAAGTCAATATGGTGCAGAATGGATAACATTTTTTCATTAGTTTAAATTGCGAAATGTATATTATTTAAAATACATTGATTTCTAGTGAAAAATAGGATGAAAATGCAAAATTCCTCCTCAACAAAAGTGACAGAAATTTTACAAAATTCAAACTGCTCTTATTTTTAACATATTACAAATTCATCTAAACTGAAAATAACTAAAATAAGCTAAAAATAAAAGAGCTAGTATTTTTTACTTGTAACAAATGCAAAATACTTAAATATCTACAACGCTTTAAACTCTAAAATACAGTATTATAACTTTCAGAAATACATAGTGTCAAATTTGTAATGCTATTAACTATATGGAATACAATTTTAACTTTAAAATGGTTCATTTGTAACAATTTCAACTTCAGACGACTTGACTTACAGAGTCAGTTTGCAACTTTAGAAGAGTGGAGAATTTGAATTAATTAGAAATCTTCGTTTTATCTCTTTAAAGAGAAGGAAAAAATTTTCGTAATTCAAATCAATGTATATATATAGTCTGTTATGAATACTGCAACATGACGAAATCCTGTGGTAAGTAAATTCTTCTAATTAACTGAATATAATCGTTTCTAAGAGAAAGTAGGTACAACTTGATGTGAATTCAACAGCTCGAATCTGCGCACCATTCCTCTCATGCGGGATTGGCATTCCAGGTAATTTAAATAATTTAGTTAGCGTTCCCACATAACTCAGTTGCTCAGAGATCTAAAATAATCGACTCTCACTGCATTAAACAGTGACTTCAGTCTTGCAGAAATCTCATTGAAACTGGGAACTAGGTATGCTAAATTATCACGCGATTCCCAATTGGAAAGAATCAACTCTTTGTATAAGCTTTCATTTTGGAACACAATGGAAAACCACATTGGTAGTGACGTTCTCTATTTAGACATTGAATTAAATGAACGAAAGTAAACAATTTTCCTTTCACACTCCAAAATAATGTACTTGAAAACTTGCACGGAAATTCATCATTATAATTATGCACAATTTTATTTGTGGAGAAAATTTCATGACAATAATAATTATATTAAAAGTTCTTGTCGCCAAACTTGAATAATAACTTAATGTAAGGAAATTAAATTTTTAATTAAGATAAAAATTTTGAATAACACCGTGAATTTCAAGTAAAACCTGCATTTAACTTGAATTACTTTACCCAAATAATTACTCTAATCTCTGCCTCTTTTGAAGAAGTTTTAACATAGCTACACTATTCCGTCAGTCCGAGTCTGAAATAATGGCATCCAGTTAGGAACTGTTGAAATAATTAAAATAATTAAGACACTTTCATATATAACAGATAATTACGAAACGGGAATATACTCAGAAAATTCACTTTTTCCACAAATTTTACTTTAATAATTTCTATTAGCTACAAGGAGATTTTTCTATATTTTATGAAACTGTGATGAATGGCAACTTTAATACCATACAATGGTACTGACTACTGACTCAAAATGCATCGAAAAAGTATAGTCTGGTTCTTGTTTCTGAATTAGGACAAAATTTTGTCGGTTAATTAATAGTATCAATGTCAGTGACGATTTCTAAAATAGTTGATGACACTCTGTACTAATGAAATACCTCAAAACGTCAAACTGTAATAAAATTAGAACGCTTTTTTGAGCCGGAATTAATCTGACAGTCGCAATTGTCGCTTTTAATATTTTCCTATATTCGAACTAAAAGTTGAAATTTATTCATTTTCATTCTCTTTAAAAAAAAATACACTAGATACACAGGAATTTCTCAGGCAGAGAGAAAAAAATTCCATTTCTAGTTTTGCACATATTACAAGCGAACATATTTCAAGCTCTTCCACGTGTGTTGATTTCTTAATTATAGTAGGGTTGGTGGGAGACATGCTGTAAAATATGAAAAACCTAGCAGCAAACTCATGCGAGTCATTCGCCTGATTAAAACCATAAAACGTGTCCATCAGTGAGGCACAAACTCTTGCTGATGTGTATTCCATATATAGCATAGAAGCGCAGGTGAGCTTGTGCTTTGGTGAGGAAGCAGAGAAAAGAGATGAGGGGGGATAACTTGAGAACAAAACAGTATACGCGTTGTGTGTAAGGGAGAGAAAGAGATATCACAAGGGTGGATGAGTGACACAATCCGAACAACGCAGGCGCGTCTAGAGAGACTCCAAGCACGAGACTCATGCTTGCAAAGCGTCGCGACGCTCTTTTACTACTCATTCGACTCCCGCACGCTCGATCGCGATAATCTAATACCGTTTGCAAAGACTTCGGGTCGCATTATTTTTATTACATTGCTAGTATAAAAGTTTCACAATGAAACTAAAAAAATAAAAAAAAATTATCACAATGAACACTACATTTAAAAAATAAACAGTTCTTTAAAATTGCTAAATCCAACATTATAAATGATTAAACAATTTATAAAGCAAGAGATAAAAATGTAACAAAAAAAATTGAGATGATAATTTTTAATTCACAAGTGAACAGTAAAAGATGATCTATGAAAGTTGTCTTCCTTAAGGAAGTGAATTTCGATTTAGGACAGTGACAAAATAATAATAATAATAATAATAATAATAATAATAATAATAATAATAATAATAATAAGTATGTGAGATACAGGTTTTATTCAGGGATTTCAAAATATAAGAATCCCCCATATTGACGTTAATATGTGAATATCTGATAAGGACGTTTCGATGGATATAGAGATTTCCGACGTCATTTTTTTCATCCCTTCCCTAATAGTGAAAATTGCTCTACAAGTAGGTGACTCCCTACTTAAAGCAGCCCTCAAGTTCAAAGAAGCAATAGTCGTTGAAGGAAACGAGTGTATTAAAAGAAATGCACCCTTCTCATTCATTATTCATATACTTTTAAATGATAAAAGTAGAAATTATTCACGTGGCAAGTTTTTAAGAAACAAATTCTTATATAATAGAATATGTTCTCGTAACAATATATTTAATATTAAAACTGCACATTATTAATATAAATAGAGATTGTGAATTATTCGAAAATGGTTAATTTTGAAACGTATGAATCAACTGTGGAATGTGCAAAGGGGGGATCAAACTTATTGGTAATGATGATATGTTTTAGATAATCTTATGCTACCGTGCAGATGACAGCACTAATTGTAAAACAAAATTGTGTTGTATTACAACAAAACGCAATTGATAATAGGAATTGCTAATAAATGGCCTACGATGACAATTCGTCACTTACAATGTATTGTCATCAGCAACGAACAATCATTACAACAAAGAAAAAACACGGGGAAATGACAAAGAAATTTGGATAATTTGAAAAAAAGAAAATAACAATTAGAAAAAAGAGGAAAAATGAATTCGACATTCGAGTCACAATGCGTTGGTTGGTTGGACACCTTCCACACCAAATATATAGCAATTCATGGCTGGGCCAGTTTCTTGGTTTGTGCATTCGGCTCAATTGCCAACGGCCTAAATATCGCGGTTCTAACCCGAAAGGAAATGTGTTCTGCAACAAATGCCATCCTCACCGGTTTGGCAGTTGCTGATTTATTAGTGATGTTAGAGTACATCCCTTATGCAATACATTCATACCTATATTTCCGACCTCCCAAGAACACCTTCACTTATGGATGGACGGTTTTCGTCCTCTTTCATGCCCTCTTTGCCCAAGTCTTCCACACAATTTCCATCTGGTTGACCGTCACTCTGGCGGTTTGGCGCTACATTGCCGTGGCACATCCTCAAAGAAATCGGGAGTGGTGCAGCTATCACCGAAGCATCGTGGCAATAGTGAGTGCCTATCTGATATGTCCCCTAATTTGTGTGCCCCTTTATGTGACCACTAGCATTCAAGAGAGAAGACAATTGTTCGATTCCGATGGGCAATATGTTAATAATTCTCTTTACAACGAGACTACCCTTCCGGAAGGTATCACGAATGGAACAATTTTTGTTGTATCCCTCAGTGATACCGCTAAGGTGCTGAACTTCTGGATGTATAGTGTGGTTATTAAATTGATACCATGTCTCGCGTTGACCATCTTGAGTCTCAGGTTGATTCTGGCTCTAATGGAAGCGAAAAAAAGGAGGAAAAAACTCGCCGAAGCAACAATGGTCAAGAGTGAAGAGGTGTCTGCAGAATTTTGCAGTAGCAAAAAGAAAAAACGAAAATCTTCGAGACTGATGGACAAGGAGAAACAGACTGATAGAACTACAAAGATGCTATTGGCTATATTACTCCTGTTTTTACTCACAGAATTCCCTCAAGGAGTCCTGGGACTACTTAGCGTTATTCTTGGGCCAAAGTTCTTTAAAAAATGCTACATAAACCTTGGTAAGTGGCTTTGTTCATTTCATGATGAAAAATTTCTGAAAGGGATTGTGATATGTGATGTTGGGGATCATAGTTGGGGTGAGCGATCTAGGGAAACAGAGGGTGAAACCGAAAATGGAATTATAATAGGATTCGGAAATGTCTTCTTTGTTTGCTATATTATTATTACCTCTAATGGCCTTAACTGATTTCCAAACACATATTCAACTCGTTGTTTATTATTTACTCATGTATTAGTGTTGTTCACTTTTTTATACATACAGACACGTTATATTTTATTATTTCAAATTATTTGTTTCTCGCTATTTTAATATGAAATTTTTTCTTTGCTTTATATTTTTATAATAAACTTTATGCACAAAGGGGTCAACTCTTGAACTATTATAACCAAATACAAAGATAATAAACTAAAGTGGGCAGATGTTCCACTTAATTTTAGAATAATTACTTGACGAAAACTTTATTTTGTAACGCACCCGAAGCGATAATAATATGAATAATAAACAAATGCTCTAAGGGGATATGCCCGAGGTTAAAAATGAATATCCACTGTACAATGTCCCGAAACTATTCCTATTTTCAGTGACTAACGACGCAAAACTTAAAGCTGAGAGATTCAAAGACTACACTATTACCCTTAATTTGTTAAGTAGTTTTTATTCAAAATCAGTTACTAATAAATAATTTTAATTAATTTTACCTTTTCCATCTTTTAGTTTTGAAAAATGTTTTCTAATCTAACTTTTATGAAGGCAATTTGAAAAACGTTGTTACAACTTTAATTCTAATATAAATTAAAGTAATTAAATTCTACATTAATTTTATTAAATACAATATTTGTACTTATGAGAGCATAAATTCATTTCCTTGCCCTCTAGGGGTTGGTTGTTTTCTTAATTCTAGACATGCAAATTGTCTCTAAAATTGTCCTAAAATAAACTTTGCGATGTGATAAATTCCCAAGCATTACCATATGCTTTTAGGGAAAAAAATTAAAAGAATATATATGTCAAACAATTTTTTCTCACAAAATTTACTATAGCAAAAAATTATTTACTCGCCATTCGCTAATGAAGATTGATGTAATTTCCAGAATTCAGGTTTAAACTGAACTGAATAAAATTCATTTTATCAGCAAGCGCACTCAACCTTTTGAATTCTCTTATCAACTGAGTGGATCATTTCATTTTATTCACTTCTAAAATATAAAATAATTCTAGATTTAATTACTCTATTATCAGTAATTTCGTATTAATTATATCTTCCTCATTGGTTCACTTTCATTAAATATTCAGTACGTTCCAGTCATTGCTCAAGTAGATTAATATTAAAAATAATGTTTAAAAAGTTATTTTATTTATTAATATTCTTCGCCATATCGCTCTAATTTGAAAAAATTCAAATAATTAAAAATAAATGTAAATGAAATCATTTCTATTCATTTTCTTTTTGTTATGCAATTTCCGCTCTATAAATGGTTTTCGTTCTATTATTTTATCGGGAGCCTCAAGCTTTGTCACAATAAAGAAATTGCAAAAGTGATTATTCAATTGTAGAAAAATACGATTTCAATTTAGATTAATCTTTTTTCTCTTCTTCCTTACACTTGAGCCTCATCTATACTTTTCTTTAATGACAAATATTTATCTACTCGGGCTTAAATAAGAGCGTCGAGATTGCAGCCTCAGAGCAGAATTTCTCATGATTTATTACAGTCAAAGCAATTTTCGTATCGAGATCAGTTTTCCTCCTACTTTCTCGCAATTAAAAATTTATGCTTACTAAATCAATTCACATAAACTGAAATATTAATCACGTAGAAACTTTCCATAAAAAAATCATTTTCCCATCTATTTTTAATACTAAAACTACTACAATAAGTTTTAATATTAATTAACATTATTAATAAATATTCATAACTGCTCATAAGTAAAAATAAAAAAAATATTCATATAAAAGAAAAGAACTTAACGTGAAAGTACATACAAGTCAAAAATCCCTCTTTAGTTCTGTATAAAGTGAACTCAACAAGAAAGTTCCTTTGATGAGTAAATAGACAAAAAGATTTCTGATCCGTACCGAGCTTCCGATTTGTGGCATGATTTTTGTCAAGTAGTATAAGAGGGTTGAACGCGTATAGGTAGCTTACTTCTTTTCGTTTGAATTGCCAAGCTTTACGTGCCGACAAAGCACTTTATATCTTCGATGAGACGGATCTGTCTGTAAAGAAATGCGCGTTCAACATATCTAGGACTTTCCAGGAAACTCACAAGTTCTACATTTCTTATCAAAATCGATTTTACATGAAAAAAATATTAAAATAGTTTATTAAACTTCAGTTGAGTAAAATGAAGACATATATTTTTAGTAATTTTCTATTTATTCAAAGATGTTGACTTTTTTGGTGATCATCAGAAACATTTTTATTCTTGTAACTGCGAGCGAGAGAGAAAATAATAAACGAGCTTTCTACCGTAGATACAATCAAAGTCTAAAACAAGTGGACAAGTTTAAATAATCGTCATTTATCTCTGAAATAGTATCTGGCACATCTATTCTTCTCTTAATCGCTTTGAAAGAACATTAAGGCCATGTACCAAATTACTGTAGTTACCATTAAATCGTTGAATTAAAAAAAGTGTTTCTTAAACATTACAGGAGTCTTTCTTGAGAACTGAGACTTTACAAAAACAACAGTTTTTGACAAATATTATTTGGCTTCATTTCTGTTAGTTGTTCTTTTGATTGAAAAAAGTCTCATTAATAAAAGAAGCCCATCACTGTAAAAAACGATATTACCCACAAAAGAGCGATTTCTAGATTTTCTTTTTTTAGTCGCAAATCAACAATATCACTATCTTTTTTCTCAATTCAACGATTGCTTGAGAGTCTTGGAAACGCACTCCAGCGAATCTTACAAATCGTTCTCTTTTCGGTGTTTCCCATACATGTCTGAGAGATCCTATAAAATCGTAAGCCCTATTGGCCACTTTATCACCCGAGAAAAATCGAACTCTCTTCTATATTATTCCAAAAGAATAAAAGACTCATTTATACCTTTATTCCTTGCCCACATTTCCCTTACTTAATGAAACACTATTTAATCAAAATGTTCCCTATTTCTGCTAAATTCTCGAATCCTCTCTTTATTTACATCAAGATTTGATATAAGACAAATATATTAGTATAAAAAATAATTACACTTCACTATTAGACTGAAACAACAAATGGAATTATCACATTGCAGTCATTTTTTCAGTTATCATTTATTTTCTCAGTTTGTTTATTCTGTTTATGTCTAATCTAATATCTGCTTTCTTTTCAAGTATGTAACAAAATAAAAAACGTTTTTCTTATCTATTTAAATTAGAAAAAGGTTTTTACAGTCTAGAATATATAATTACGTTTTGCAATTTTCTTTATGGTTTTCCGAATGGAAAATTGTTTTATATCAAAAGTAGAATATTATTGTGTTTGATCAATAAAATTTTTATTCCTTTCATCGCAGTTTGCTTAATGTTATTGACAATGTAAGCGCGTTAAACACAGATTGGCATAGTAATTGGAAGACATAAATGTCATCTCTAGAATTATTTCAAGTTTATGATTCAATTAACCGTGCCTTATATTACATCAAAACATGTCCATTTAATTGGGAAATATCAGGAATTTTTAATGATATCAATCTTTGTTTAACGTAAAAAAATTTTTTAGTATTAATTAAACGAGTGGAAAATTTTTAACCTATTTATTGCAAAAGGTATTATAAATTGAGTTTTATAGAAAATTGGAAAATGAATTTTGGGATTTAACTTTTTACTTATTATCGCATTAAAGAGTGTACGTGTATGAAATAGCAACAATAGCGGGTTATTGAAGCAGCTTTGGGTTATGGAATCATTGAAGGTTAGGAGCAATTCGAAGGTATCATGAAAAAGCACACACTTTTCGAGATGGACGAAAAACCTGCGCGACACTTGCACGTGTATATGTATTTACACCAATGATTGTTCTATTCTCCAGTGAGCAAAAACTTTTTCAACTACTAGGGAAAATGTATCCCATCGACTTGAGTTATTTCAAGTTGGTCTCATGATACCGACAACTGAATTCACTGCGTACACATCGATTTCAAAACTTTTTCCTCCCATTTCATATCATTGTACCCTAGCTCGCTTTTACCTCTCCATTTGTCCGTGAAAAATAATGTGATAAACTCATCCCGTGTAATATCCGATGTGAAAATAAAAGTTTGAAACTTACTTTTTTCAATAATAAAATATATCACAATTATATCAAACATATATTAAAAAACTACGCTTATATACAAATAATTCCGTTATGGGTGCTAGACTAAAAAGTTGTTTTTAACAACAAATAAAACTATAAATAAAATTTATTTTCTCAAAGAAATTCATCTTCTAATTTTTAAAGCATTTGAATCTTGTACCGTTTTTCTAAAATTTGTCATTATTTTAATAGGTAATTTAATGTCCTACACTATTTTTAATAATTGCTATTTCTCGAGGCTTCTTAACTTTGCTAAAACAATTTTCTTGCAAATACCTCTCTAGTTTATTTTCCTCAGAAGCTTCTAAATCTGAATCATTTAAAAACTCTACAACTTTTCCCAATACTTTTTAAATTCTTTCATAATATAATGTCAAATTTATGTGGTGCGAGAGTATTCGACGAAAAAGGAAAAATTTCATAGAATCAAAAACTTGTTTTGCTAATTTACTTCAAAGTGTAGAAAAATTATTTAATTTGTCAGAAAAAATGTCAATTTTATATCAAAATCTGGACACGAAAAATCTGTATTCTAATAAAAAAAGAGATGAAATTAATTAAAGTCCAATGAATGGGACAATTTTTCACAAAGTGCTCATAAATTTACCTAATATCAGAATCAACTAAATTTTTCAATATTTATGACTTATGAAAATCGCACATAAATCACGTACATATTTAAATAACTTGCTGGAAGATAATTTTATTCCTACCTCACGATTGAAAAATTCTAACATTAATCATCCTATCTATAAATCTAAATTTCACACTTGGACGATGGAAAGTGTGTTCTTTATTGATACTTGGAGCTCTTTTATGCAATTTTCAATAATGAACGTCAAGTTTCATCTTCATTTCAGTAGCATAGACAATTAAAAGGGTTGTATTGTCTTTATTGCACTTTACTGCAAAAATTTTAATTAAGAAAATTTTTCATTGACAATACAAATATTCCCCTGAATGATTTATTTTCCCACTTGTGCTCTACTTCTAATTAATTTTATATTTAGTTTCAAAAATTTTATTCTCGAGAAATTTTAATGAGATAGAAATTACATTCAGGTGCGCGTGTTAATAAATTTCTCCATAGATCAATCAATCAATTGGATTAAAAGTCATCACTTCACCCTATATTTGAAGTATTGAGTATAATAAAGTGTATTTCGTTATCAATAAAATATTATTAGCTAAAGCTTATAAAAACAATAACTTTTATATCTAAACGCGTTCAAGTTTTTACTGCCTTGGAATAAGTCCAAAGTTTGTAGATCCATTTCAATTAGAGTCATAGCACTGACGGAAATTAAGTGTGTCCACGAAAAGTAAATATATATATAGGTAACTTTCACCTAAACCTCAAAGGACTTAATTTATAGTGCGGAGTAACAAATCACCTGAGGGGATTATTTCACGACACGAAACTTTTTCACCCTACACAAAACAACCCCCTACACCTATTAAGTTTCAGTAAATATACATTTTTTTTCTTCGAAATTAACTCTTTATGTTCAACTAATCTAAAGGGTGCAACTGTTTAGAAAATTTACAATATTTTCAAACAGCTGTATAAAAGATTACAAGGTAAACATTCTTTAATTTAGAAGAACATGTGTTAAAGAATTTCTTAGAATCGAGAGTTTTAAAAAACTGGTTATTTGAATTCATGAAGAACCTTTAAGTTTTTAGAAAAAAACAAGTTTTAGAAAAAAAAGTCGACCACACCCCATGTGTAATTTTCCCTTTGGAGCCATTCATACTATACATTCACTTGAAGGTGAAATCCAATGGAAATCGCGTGACCTCGTGTGAATTTTTAGTTCCTGATTATAAGTTACACACACCAATTCATTCAAGAAATAGATGTTCTTATTTTCGAAAATAATTGGTTACATCAACAAAAAAAATTCTATTCTGCTAATTCAACGATATATATTTTTTCATTTCCCTTATTTATATTTTACTATAACTAATTTCACATTAATATTTTTATACATTATATTCCTTTTAGTATTAGTATTACTTGTTTTTTTTTAGTCATATGTTACTAATTTTCACATTACGTATCGTACCATGCATGATATGGATATACAATAAAAATTTGGTCTATAGAAATGATTTATTCCCATTGGATTCTGCTCAATTTTGTATAAAAGAGTTTTTCTATACTATACCACTTTTAATTTATCACAACAAATATCTCGTATAGAAGAATAAGAAAAAAACATTTAAAAAGATCAAATTTCTATCATTGGATTTGGTTTGACTTAATAAACCAATAAAAATTCACAACAACGTGTTACTAAAATATTGACGTGAAATATAAAATGGAACAGAAAGTGATAACCATTTACCAAAAAAAATATCGTTTTTCATTCGAAAGCGCTCATTGTTTCCAATCTTCCTCATATTTTTCTACAAATACAATTAATGTTCACAATTCAACGAGAACACGCGATTTTAAATTACTTTTATCATATAATCTTCTTTAACAATACAATAAAAAAAAGTTAATATTAATTGTAAATTTTGAAAATTCTAATAATCTAACTTCCATATTATACAATATCATTTTCCAATTTATTTTATATGAATATAATAAATTTTTTTCTTTTTTTCAAATTTACTTTTTTGCAGAAAAACGTAATATGTTTCCGCATAATTTACGTTATATTCCATTTAGTGTTCGACTGCACAACAAGAATGTCGAAAACGATATTTTCTGTGGCAGCCTCAGAACGCAATTAACGTTGTATCCAGTACTAATTGGACAATAGGAAACACAAGTTCTATAAGATTCTTTCAAGAATTGCCAAGATAGGAAAAAAGGAAAACAAACTTAAAAAGTAGAATAAAATTCTGTAATCACTTAAACGCGCAATCATTTAAATCACCATCTATAATTAAAATCCTACATCATATTTATTAATCTAGTGAAAATTTATATTCAAATCAAAAATGATTATTATCAGTTTAATTAAATTATTACCTTGGAACTTTGTTTTTATCTTGATAATTTTAACTAAGTTCCCTATCTATAAACTATCTCAAGATAAAGAATATTTTATATACTTTAGTGTAAATTATAATAAACGTACTTAACAATTTTTTTTTAATTAAAATATTTCTATTCAAAAAAGCATTGCAAATTTTGAATTCTTTACTTCAAATACACTTTTTTTTGTTAAAATAAAATTTTTTATAAAGACGCAGAATTTCAAGAGTTTATTTAATATGTTAAGTTTTCTAAAAATTTCAGTTGCTAAACTATATTTATAACCGATATTAATATTTCTTTTTTCTTTCACGTTTTTTTTGTTTCATGAATTTTGATTACATTACTTCAAGATTAGGGAATAAAAATAAAAATATAATTGCATTAAAAAAAACTTTAATACAAAAATTTATTTTTTTAAAAATAACTTTTCGGTTTTTATCGAAATATCGTTTTATATACGAGATTGATACGAAACTAAGAATCATAAATAATGCATGCACCTAGAAAATATGCATATTTTTCAATTTTGCATATACGGCATAATTACACTGGATGTGTATTAAAAAAATTATAAACTTTTTAGATTCTCTTATTCACGTATATATGATAAACAGATACAATTTTTCTTTATTGATTATTAGAAAAAAATCTTTAATCTAAAATTTCTTCTATTAGAATTATTAATCAAAGAAGATAAATAATAAATAGCTAACGGGATGAATAAGAGTAGAGATTGGAAAGTTTTCAAGTAAGTTGAGGTGTGATACTATCGACATTTTGCATAAAACTTTTAATCGACTCAAACTTGTCGAACTCTCGTCTATATACGACGGATTTGTATTTTAAATCTACAACAACCACATAAACATTGTACATGTAAATGTGTACACGATGAAATTTAATTAAATTTAAAGTGTGTTCATTTGATGATGCAGATATTCCAAAGAAAAATAATTAAAAAACTAGAGTTGCATATTTTATGAAACATGATTCTGTTATTATTATGTTATTTATTTTTACACATAAAAAATGTGTAGTACATACAGAGTAGGGTATGCAACTTAGTTTTTAAATTAATCAATAATGAAAAATGTAATGTTTTATTAAATGTCGCTAATTAGTAAAGAATTGATTGAACGAAAAATGAAATTAATGACTTTTTTTGTTATATTCAACAGGTGAAGTGATGGACATACTGGCCCTGATAAACTCAGCCATCAATTTCATTCTTTATTGCGCGATGAGTCGACAATTTAGGATGACCTTTAAACAACTTTTCTGCAAAAGGAAACTTTTCGGCAGGTGGCTTCCAGTTCCATTGCACGGTGAAAATAATGGAAATACGGGGACCAATCACACTGTGACCCAAGTTACTCAAGTCTAGCACAGGAGAGTTCGACAACCATTTTGCTATCCCCTTTAAAAAAATTTCTTTCGATGAGGACCTAACGATCCAATTTTTTTACTCAACAACCCTTCTAGCGACATATTTATTAACCTTTTGAGAAAAAGTCGATATAATTCCACCAAATAAAGTGGCGAGAAATAAAAGTCACCCTTCTTTACATTTCTCATTTTATTCACTAAATTAAGAAAAAAATTAATACAGTTAATTATTTTAAAATATTTTTAAATCAACAAATTTTCCTAATTACACTGAAAAAAATTTATTTCATTTAAATAATAGGTTACTTGACTATTATCAAATAAATAATTACTTGAACCAAATAATTTTTATTTCAATTAAATAAACTGTATTTGGACCAATAATTTCTGTATTTTAAACAAATACCATCTAATTAGGTAACTCAAATAATAATTAAATAAATATTTATTTGATATAGTCAAGTAACCGATTTTTGAATCAAATACATTTTTTTCAGTGTACATACACATATATTTTACAATAAACAAATAAATCAAAAATAATTATTTGACTTATCCAAAAAAAGTAAAATTTTTAAACATTGTGAAATTTAGAGAATTTTGACTGAATTCTACAGAAGTTATAAATTTAAATAATTTATTAAATTATAAATATAATAATGATAATATTAATAACACAGACAATATTAAAACTGAATATATAAGTAATTTAACATTTTGGTTGGTGAGTTAATGAATTCGATCGCATTAAAAGGAGACGTACCATTTTTTATATAGAATGAAAAAAAAAATTCTTTAAATGATTCTACTCATTCAGCTAAAATCAATTCAATTTATATATAAAATCCACGAAAGCAAAAAATAATATAATAGTTAAACAAATAAGCTCATCGCTTATGATACAATTAACAATAGAATATGTAATTAAAATATGAGATTTATTTGACTTAATAAAAAGAAGGAACAATAAATAAGAAATGAAAAGTAATTTTTCAGGAACAATATTACATTTTCACGAGTTCATTTTATTGTCACAATTAAACTGATTAACTCTTGCAACGAAAATATACAAATATACTTTGCTCAAGTCTCATTGAGAACAAAGACAGAAAAATAAAATTTAAAAAGTGTGGAATAAAAAAAATTTTGGTACGTATTACTAAAATGATAGCAAATGGTTGTCGGACTTTGAAAATTATATATAAATACTTTATCAGAGTGGTTCTTAAAATAGTCTCAAATTTCATAAACTTTGAGTAACAGAAATTTTCAAAATGAAAAATTCTTTTATTTTAAAATCAAAAAATTATTATACATTTTATTAATAACTTTTTAATTATAACTTTATCATCATTTTTATAATGTAAAATAAATTTATTTTGACTAATTAGGAAAAATTTGTGTAAAAATTGTGCGAAAGTAGAAAATACTAGAATTTTTGAGATCCACTCTAAAACCTCCGTCATGAAACTTTTAACTTAATTTGAGCGCATTCTTGAATTTTAGAAGAATTCAGTCTTCGCAGTATAAATAACATAAAGCAGACCAAAAATTTAACATTTTATACACATCGAAAAAGAAGAGTTTTTCGTCGGAGATGCGAAAACATTTATATATATATATATATATATATATATATATATATATATATATATATATATATATATATATATGTGTGTGTGTGTGTGTGTGTGTGTGTGTGTTAAAAAATATTTCATTTAAAAAATTCCCTTGTGAGAATGATATCAAAGAGTTGCGAACGTTAAATAATTTACATTCAACTTATTGTATTTTTTTTAATATTGTACTATTGTCGAGAATGTATTTTTCACATACAAAAGATGTATATTTTTCATTCCCTCCTATCAAAAAAGAAAGAAGACTCATTTTTTATTAAATTTTCCCTCGTTTTCTATATTATTTCTGAGCTCAAAAATATTCAGAAATAAATATTTTCCATAGATTTTTTTTTCTATTAAAATTCAAAAATCTTAAAAACTGTTTCCTTGAGTATTTGATGCACAAAGATTATTCATTTTTGAGTTTCAAAGTAATGTAAATTATTAATAATAATAATAATAATAATAATAACAATAATGTTATAATTATAGTAATAATAAATAATAAAAATTGGAAGAAAAATTATATAAAAGAAATATCTAAGAGGTGTATATCAGATTGATATAATAATGTTATAATCGACGCTTAAAATGTAGTTTAATATAATTAAAATTATATATTATATATAAATATATTATATTAAAGATAATAGCGTTATTAAAGAAAAATTAAATAAACGGAGATTTGTATATGAAAAGTTTCAAAATAAATTTGAAAATTAATAATAGTTGTGTTTTTATAAATGTGAATAATTTATATATGGTAAATAAAAATTTATTATCAAAATTAAACAAAAGAGTTATAGTCCTATACCGCTGTCACTATAAATACATTATGATTGGTTGCAAATAATATAATTTGTTTATATTTATTAAATTCACAGTTCGAAATAAACATATTATTAAACGTGAATTGACGTATAGTATCGATGTACTAAAGATTGGAAGAAGATTGATATTCAAGAACTTTATGCAAAGAGAAGAAAAAGTTTCATTAAAACTTTTTTTAAAGAAGATTTCTTGAGAAACAAATTGCCCGTAAAAATGAGAAGTTAGCAAATATTAATTTGAAAAAAAAATTGTTTTCTATAGATGGCAAACGTATTTTTTTCTAGAATTGAGTTTATGAACGTTAGAAATATATAACGTTACTTAAAATTATGTCTAATTTTTTTTATAATATTTTTCAAACCAAGAACTTTCATATAAAGTTATCAATTTTTAAAAAGCTTCTGCTCTCATAGCAGCTTTTAAGTATATAAAGTGGCTTGTTCGTTCCATTTTCAACCCTCTAAGATAAAATCTTTCAAGAGATTGACCTTCTTTTCAAATTATTGTGATTTATATTTTTTACATTTCTGACTTTATTAAATCTTTATTACCTATTAACTTTAAATTTCTATATATTAATTATTAATATATTATTGGACATGTCACATCTTTTTATTTATTTCTTATTTCAGAAATAAATTAATTGACTATTATTAAATAAATATTTACTTTATTTATGAAATAAATTTTTTTTTCAGTGTAGAAATTAATATGCTCCACTATGAAAATGGCGCGAAAATCAAATAGGATGAGAAGCAAATAATAATAAAATTGGAAGATAATCTTTAAATAAATTAATGAACCTGAGCTAAATAACATAATAATATTAACACATGAAAAGTATTTTTATAAATCTTTATTATTTTTCCGAAACCGAATGTTTTTATAAATAAAAATCGTTAATGAACCGTTGTCTGTTATACTTTTAAAATCTCTTTCATATCAATATACTCTAATAAATTAATCCATAATTAATTAAAAGTTGTAAAATGGATTGGAAAGTAAGAACTTTTGTAGTTTATAATAATTCAATTTAGATTCTCAAGAATGAAAGTTAATTAAAAGTTGTGTACATAAATGAATTTAAAGTTGAAAAAGTTTAAATTTGATGAAAATTTTAATTTTAATAAATCTCTGGTGGCTTCAAGCAAACAAACTTGAAGCTGACGATAAAGATCGACGAAATACTACTGGGAGTAGGAAAATATATACGTGAGTAAAACGAAGAGTATCATATATATAGTTTTAGGAGAATTGACATTCTCATCGACAGTGTAATAAAAAGCAATGGTACACGCCAGGAGACAAGCAGACAATTTTCAGAAATCATCAACTAGATTTGGAGAAGAAGATTCTCTTTAAAAAAACCGTCCTTTTTGAAATGAAAAAAATTTTTCCTTTTTCTTTAATCCAATTTTTAAAATTAGAACATACACTTTTCCTTCATGTTATCAAATAAGTCAGTTTCAACTTTGGAAAAATGAAATACCCGAACAGTTTATCGTCTTTATAGAAGTCAATATATTGGGGAGATGCAAAAATGAAATAGTGGGCGAAAGTCATGCGAGTGGCGTGTAAAGTAAGGTGTCATTTCATGCGAGAAGAAAAATAGAAAGCGTCACAAAGAACCGGATGTCGTACAGTTGCGGAAAAGGAGCAAAAAAAAGAAGCATCTCGAATATTGCAAATCGATCGTAAGTTTCAAGGGAGAAAAAAAATGTATAGGTATATACATTCAAATACATATTTTCCATCTAGGAAATTAAAAAATAAATTATTGACATTTTTTAACTAATATAGGTATATTTGTAACATGATAAAATGAGAATTAATGAATTCGCAAATTCAGTTGACAAGACATTTTTTTACAAATAAGATAGAAACAAAATAAAATAATTATTTATGAATTAAAAAAATGTATTAGTAAATTCCTCAAATTTGACAATTCAATAAAAAATGTATTGTTATTTTCTATAATGCAGAAAATATTAAAACGTAATTAAAATATATTTAAACAAGAACATTGCCCCTATTGAAAGCTTCTTTCATTGCTTCAATGTATAAATGAAAGACGTCAGCACTTGTTAAACAGTCTGCTTTACCATCTAAGTAACAATCATAAACAAGGTTAGAATTTGTTTTGAGATCAAGTCAGACGTTTAAAATAATTAATAATAATAAGTGACATAAAATTTAAGAATTCGATTAGAATCGAAAACACTGTATAAAACCATTATTGGCCATTTTATAAGAAAAAGCAAATTTCACTTCTTACAAAAACATATTTCAAAGTTATTTAAAATCTAGTCCCACTATTTTTTTTCTTTCTAACTGTCATAAAAATACCTTATATATAAATGTATCAATCAGTAATTAAAAAGGATTTGCCGCGGGTATTAATTATTAGCGATGTCAAAAATAAATCTGTCGATCTCGCTAAAAGTAAGTAAAAATACACAAAACATAACCTAAAATATTTGTTTTATTATATAAAACTTTCGACATTTTTATTGTAATGTTCTTTTCTTTGTAAAACAGTGATAGGGGCGGAACCACTATTAAAAGAAGAAGAAACAGAATATCATTTATGGAACATAGACAACAAATATTACACAGCACAAATTTTAATTTCTTCCATGGAAAATTTTCCGACAAATATTTCATTTGAAGGAGTTGAAGCCATAATCGTCTATCATGAACCGAAAGCAGTAAGAGAGAGAAAAATTATCAAATGTTTTAATAATTTTTAAATGAGAAAATAAAAATTACATAATTTTTAGGAAGAAACTTTATGCTACTTAGACACTTGGAAATCGCAAATGCCATCCCTTTCGGAAGTAGAAATTTTTTTATTCGTCTGTAATTCTATCACAGATTCATCTCTTAAAGAAAAATGTAAGAATCTCGTGTTAATTATTTTGTTTTCATTGATGTTCTTACTAGAACGATCAATTATTAAAATTTAACGATTTCCATTATTCGAATGTTTAGTGACCGAATGGTGCATGCAACAGAAATTTGAATTAGTTGAACTGGAACAGGGAGAAACGGATGATTTTGAATCAGGAAGAAATGCTTACGGAATTGAAAGGATCATTGAGGCTTTGCAAGCACACACGTGGTCAAATATGACATTAAAAAGTAATCAAGTGTAAATTTACCTTTAAATCACATTAGTTGGAATTTAAAATCATTTCTATTGTTTATAATGTTTTAGATCAAACTTCAGAAACCAAATCAAGGGAAGAAGTAAATCGAGTTGGAGAACAAATAGAAAATATCCAATTAGATGCTCAACCTGACATTTCAGAAAGACTACAAATGGAAAGTGTTTTTGGTCAGTAAATATTTATATATTTTTGTTATAAAGTTAAAAAAAGTATGACTTTCCCTCTAAATCAGATTGTTCCAAATATAACGATTGTAAATAATATTATTTCAACAGATGGAATAATGGACAGTGAAAATGTTGATTTTGGGGAGCTTTTTGGGCAATTGATGGCAATGAAAGAACATGCCGCTACTTTGCCTTCAAATCAAAGAAAACTTGCTGCAGAACAATTAGTTACAGCTTTTTGGAAAGCCATGGGAGGAGATCCAACTGAAATTAGCGATTTGGATTAAAAAAATAAACTTTTAACAATCCGATTCTTGTTTCTAGAGATAAATTATCGAAAATTTATTCGACACAATTTATTTTGTACATTTGTACTTGTATAATTCTTTAAAATAACATTTCCAATTTATAAGAAGTTGAGAAATTGATTCATTTAATTTATTATAGGTATAAATTATATTATGTAGAGTTATGTTAGAAGATTACGAGAATAAATATAACTAATTAGTAAAAAAAAGAACAAGATTTAAAATATTATTAAAGTTCATGTAACGTAATACGGCATATTAATTTATGTAAAAAAAACAATAATCGTTAATTCAATTGAAATATAAACAGAATTTTTATTATAAATTGTAGTTTACTTATTATCCCTACCTAAAATTTTGTTTTTTTATAACAAAAATGAAAATATCTAATTTCTACTTAAATACTTTGAAATGTACCTTAGTTTGAAATTCTGGAGACAGGGTTGGACATCTCTTGCAATCTTGAAGCACACGAAAAAATTCTGCACAAAATATTTGAATCAATTGAAATACAAAATCAGGGTGCCTACCAGTTTTATTAAATAAAATACGCGATTTTTTATTTGTCGTTCTGTGTAATATAATAAAATATTAATTATATAAATTTTTACACATTAATATTAATAAAATACATTTGAAGCTACATTAATTTCAAGTTTTTAGAAATTTTGAAAAAATTAAAATGTTTAGTTTGAGAGATAAAATTTTAGTTAGTAAACACTCTGAAATATATGTATTTTTAAACGTTAGCTTTTAAAAAAAACAAGTAGTTTTTGAATAATAAAAATTACGATTCAAATATTTTTCACTCGCGCACTGATTTTAACTTTCAACAATAATATTACTTTATAATGAGTATTACACTGCTTTTACTTAAAAATTTTTAAAATAAAACAATCACACGTTTTTAAGCCGCGCACTGACTCGAAACTTTAATAAATACATGTAATTTATAAATTTTTTATATTTCCGGAATTAAAAATTTTCTATACTGCAAAAATTGACTTCAAAAAAATTAGAGAGCAGATTAACACTCAGAGATCCCTTCTCTAGGTTATGAATCCGATTTTAATATCTGAAACGAAACCATACAAAAAGACCGAGTATTCACCAGCATACTTCTAATTTCTTTAGGAACCGGACACTTTTTCTTCCACTATTACCGGCCACCAAGGGCGAAATCTAGAACAAATAAAAATCCAACGTACACTCATCATTGTTAACTTTCCGCCATTTTGGAAAAATGTCAATTGCAATTATTTTCAAAAGAATAAAATTATCAATTTTTTTACATAGACTTATGAGTCTATTGTGGTTGGAAACAAATATATTCGAAATATATTGCAAAAACTACACTGAAAATTATAAAATTGTCATCTTTTTCATGCACTTCCTATCCATTCCCTGTACCATGAGGCATAAGGAAATCGACATTTATCACACATTTTGCAAACTATTACTTACATTTTGACAATACTTTTATAAATTTTTATGTTCCTTGACTTGAGAAATTGGCTAAATCAAAAAGTTTTGAAAAAATACCTTATTTTGGAAGAAAAAGTTGAAGATCAAGACGTGCATTCCAACACTTTTTTTCAACAATAACGGACACGTATGGATAAGGACAGAGGTCGGCTCTGATTGGCTGTATAAAAACATGGCTACAAACCGAATAACAATGATACTTGAACTTTAATTATCAATATTGTACACTGTGTATCACTGCTTTATAAAACTTAATTACATTGAAAAAAATGACGATAATTTACAGTATTTTTATTACTTTTTTTGTATTTTTTACTAAACTTTTGAATTCAACGAAACAATTGCTGTTGTCAACACTGATCACTAATTTGTACTGCAGTGACATCTGTTGTTATTGTATGAGCTCTTAAACCCACCCTCACAACATTCCCAATTTCCCATCCTTGATTAAGCATTGCTGACAACCCAAGATCATAAAATTTTTTGTGCAGCACTGTAACCAAAGTTGCCAATAAAATAAAAAAATAATTCAAAATACTAATTTTATGTAAATAATAATAAGTCGTTTAACTAAATAAATAATATTAAAAGTATGTAAAATATTGTTTGGTAAGTGTTATTCATTTAAATTGTTGCTTAATTGATTTTCTCCATTTTCAAAGAGAATATAAATCTCAATATAATGTCAACAGATTAGGTTATGTTTGTTTTACAAAACTAGTCAAATCCAAAAATATTATATCACACATTTCCGATTTGAATATTCTTGTTTTCTTCTTATTTATTTAAACAAGTTTAATATAAAATACTGAAATTTATACACAATAATAATGAGTAACTGAAGAAAACAATAATAAAGACTGAAAGCGTTATTAAATTAAATTAAAGAAAAACTAGCGTAGTGAGGAAAGAAATAGTTTTTCACGTTTCTCAGTTGTCATCCTGCATGACCAAGATGTCTGCTATGTCTGCATCATTAACGAGTGTTGGAATTTCTATTTTGTGTTGTGTATTATGTTATTTTAAATAGTTTGTTTATAAATCGCTAATTGTACTGAAGATACACATTTGGTAAATAGACAGTTTCCTTCAATTGTGTACGTCACAGAAGGATGAGGATTTTGGATTTTTCAATCTTCTGAGTCTCTAAACGAGGTAAGGCAAGAAACCTCACCGCCTTTGCTGACTGCTTCGATTTGCAAACAGAGCTTCCGGCTTATATTTGCTATTTATCTTGACGACAATCAGTTTTTCGTCTCTAATTGCTTCTATAATAACACATTTATGTCATTAATAAATTTACGATTTTCCAATTTTGTTAGATGAAAATACGAAAAAACTTTCTCCGTGTCGTCATTTTCAGACAAAAATTTTTTTTTCTTTCTATTTTTTTTTTTGAAAAAAGTACCAATTATTAATTGAAATTAATTACAAATTTTTAATGTATTTTGTGTCCCGTGATTGAAATTGAACCCCATATCTAAGATTTACAAGATTTTCATAATCTTTTACTTGTAACTTTGAAAAATTTACAATTTTTCGTAAGTTGTAAAATTAACAATTTCTTTAATGTTATAAAATTGACGGTCTCTTAAATATTAAAGAATTGACAATTTTTATTAAATTTTAAACTGATTTTTTTCTAACTTCTTAAATTGATAAATCTTATTTATTTTTGAAAAATTTCATAACTTGATAATTATTGATGATAACGTACAATATTTGTTTATATTTACAAACGTTTGGAAAAAAAGATTTTTTCCTGTCATGTATATTCCAACCTCAAATTTCACCAATACTTATTCTTTTTTTTATTGTAATGATTATATGAAATTATGTTTTATATTTAATTTTTATTTTTGATTTTATTAATCATATTCTCAAAACTATTTGTAAAGAATTACATTAAATTTTTTTATGGAAGTAGAGTCTCTGCTTCAGTAATAATATTATATTTCACTTATTGTTAATAATGAGAATTTTTACGATTATATTTTAAAGAAAAAATGTTTTTTATTGCAGAAAATTATTAATTTCCAATGTCGGATTCAGTGGAAGAATCTACAGCAGATATAAATGTCTCGCTGTCGGATATACCAACTCCACAAACTCCAGAAAATAACAGAAATCAAACAAGTGATCATGAATCACCCAAAACAGAAAGTCCCAAACCCCTTAAGCCTGTTCTTGGCAAATTACAAGCTAAAAAACGTTTAATGGCGTTTGTTAAGAATTACACTGCTATTCCTAATCCACTTCAAAAAGCATCGAGGATGAAACACAAAAGTCACAATAAAAAGAGTTCAGAGGATAGCAAAAGTAAAAGTAAACCGATAAATTTGATTTTTTAAAAATGGAAAAGAATTAAGAATTAAAGAAATTTCTTTAAAAAATGTTATTAAAAAATATCAGTCAATTTATTTTTTTTTATTATTTTAAAATCTTAATGTTATTTATGATTGCAGTATTATAATTTATGTATGATTTTGAGATTACTATTTTAAAATCATTTTTTGTTACAGAGACAGAGAAAGTATTGGCTATTGAAGAAATTGTGAGGGAAGAGAGCAAAAACAAATTGCTTCTTGCTCAAAGTTTAGCAGGTTGTTAATTTAACAAGTCGAATAATTTTATTTTTAAAAAAACTTAATTTACAGTTCAAATTAAAAATTTCTTTAAGTTAAGAAGATAAAGTATATTATAATTAATAATAACATTATACTATCAATAATAATTGTAATTACAATTTTTAAAATTAAAGTAAATTCAAATTTTCTGATTTATAAGAAATTTTCAAGAAAAAATAAACTGTGATTATTTATAAAATTGTTAACTATATATTTCAATTGTTTTCAATTTTGTATTTAAACATTTTTCTTTATAAAATTGCGTTTTTTACTAATTTTACGAATATTTTTCTAAAAAACAGATGAACGAAGCAATCGAGCTAGACGAGGATTATTAGGTTACCGAAGAAAGTCAAACAGCAGAGAAAGAAAAGGAAGAAACGATTATCATTCCAGATCTTCAGATAGAAAATACAGTGATAGGTAATTTTTTTTAATTAAAAACAATTGTTTTGTATCTAATTACTGATTATTATAATTTTCCTTAATCTGCTTAATAGAAAACGTCCGAGGAGTAGAGAGAGAACAGACGTTCGTCTAACGAAAGATGAGAGTGATCGGAAAGATAGTAAAGAACATTCCACAGAAAAATTACCATCAATTGATAAAGATGCAAAGAAAAGAGACAAAAAGGATGAAAAAGAGAATGATGAAATCGATGGGCGATCTAGTGAACTAGCAAAAGAAAAAATTGATTTAAAAGTAAAACGTGATGAGATTCGTGAAAACGTTAGTGAAGCGAAAGAAAGAAAAGACGAGAATAAAGACAAACGTGACGAATCGAAGGAAAAACGCGAAAATGACAAAAGTAAGAAAGACGAAACTAAGTGTAAGCGATCCGATGAAAATCAGGAAAAAAAAGGGAATTCAAGAATTAAAGAATCCAAAGATAAATCGAGTAAAGAGAAAGGAAAACGCGATAAAGAGAAGGAATTAAGTAAATGCAATTCTTGGGCAGATTTAAGAAAAGTTGGATTATCGATTGATGAAGTTACTCGCATTAAGAAAGGAGAGAACACTGAAAAGTCTGAAAAAGCAAGGTTTGTTATTATTTTCTTTTACATTTCTTTCTTTTTATATAAAGAAAGTTATAATTGATAACAATTAATAAATTACTAATAGTTTGAAAATAATAAATTTTGAAGAAGAATGGAATTTCGATTAGAAATTAATTAACAATAATCTTTGTTGCAGAACGCCGCAGGATTTCGCTGAATTATTTGGTCAAATGTTACTTCTTGGCGATCATCGAAAACATCGAAGTTCATATGTCGCGGAGGGTCTCAATGGGCCAAAAGAATATCCACCGGAAACTATTCGTGTGACAAAAGCACGTCCACAAATTCTTTATTCAGAAAATCCGGAAGTTTCTCTTCTTCTTCATCGACGTCAAGTGTTAAACGTTGTTCCACCTGAAAGGCGAGAAAAAATGGGCGATATTTGTGAAGCAACTCATATAAAGTCAGTTTATTAGTTTTATTTTGCTTTTTTGAAAAATGTTGTTCTTTTGTTTATATTTTTGTTAAAAATTATGAGCTTTAATTAAATTACTTTTTGCTGAATAAATTTTTATTTCTTTCAGAGTTATTGTTAATTTTTTCATATTTTCGTCAAGAATCTAATTTGTTAAATTAATATTCTGTTCGCTTCTTAAAATATTTTTTTTTCACTTTTACTTGTCAGGAATTGTTAGCGATTTATATTTATACCAAAAGGATTAATAGAAAAAAACGTGTACTATAGAAATTTTTGATATTAAATAAAAAACGAAGATCTTAGTAAATGAAAAAATTAACTTATAATTAATAATTGTTTTTTATTTTTTAGAATTATCGCAGCAGATTATGAAGAAGCAAATAAACATCGAGGTTGGTATCGTGCAATGGATTCTACGAAGGCTCAATCTTCGATAAATGTCCAATTTCCTAAATCAAAATGGGATAGTGAAGCTGAAGAAGGTGAAATTGCTGATGAAACTGAACCTCAAGGAACTCCAAAAATAAGAGAGGGACAAAATGCTCATCATTTGCCAACCCTCGCAGAATCTGGTAAGATAAATTTAAATTTAATTATATAAAAATTAGTTTATTTATTAGTAATAAAATTAATTACAATGAGTATGAGATCTTGACAAAAATTATTACTTCATTTTAAATTTCCCGCGGCAGACTAAAATTTTTTTCTAATTGAATGTTAGGCCATTAGGAGGCGACACTTACATATCACCGCGAATTCCTGGAATCGAACTAAAATATTGCGGCTTGGCGTTTACCATTTGTGTTTGTTTGTTGTGTTTGTTCTTATGTTGAGTTCAATAGAAATCATGACAGGAAACAAAAGATGTTTTCGAAAATGTTGAATAGTAAGTCACAAGCAGAAATATGTGACTATAATATTGATCTCATTCTAAAATTTCAGGAGTTACTACGGAAACGTAAGTACTGGACAATGTTTTGTTTTCATTGACTGCGCTCCTGTCGCACGTGTCATTAAAAGTAAAATTCTAAACTTTAAAGTGGGGAAGAAGGAGACGGTATGTTTCCTTATTTCTTTCGACTTATTAATTAAGATTCATATAAACAAAAGATACGAAGAATATCCAATTAAGACAGGACTTGCAGTCTAATGAAAACAATTTTCATTGTTAAATCAACCATATCTCTTTTATAAAATGCTATTTGTTGATAAGAAACTTTTGTTTAAAATTAAATATAAAAAACGGTAAAATTTTATTTTTGTAGTTAGTGAATATTTCATCTATAACACTACAAACTAAAGATTATTGTTTATTATTTTGGTGTTTAATTTATTAGGTATTTAAACTTATTTGTTTATTTAATAATTTTTTATTCGTTATTCATTATTGGAATAACTTGGTCTTTATTTTAAAATTAACAAAAGTACTGTTGATTTCGCAAAAAAATCAATAAATGAAGTTAATATAAATATAGGTTAGGTTATGTTGACATCAGGTGAACCAAATTCTTGAGATTAGATAAGAAAACACATTTTTTTGTAAATTAACCTTATTTAAATTAGAGAATAATATTTTTATTAGATTCACAGAAAAGAAATAAAAACTTTAGCTGTTAAACTTGAAATTATCTTTGATCTTGACGATTATATTTCTTTTATTTCGAAACTTTGCAGTATATTCTCACACAATTTACTAATATTTCCGGGAATTTTTCGAATCTTACTCATTTTTATTGTCAAGTGGGGGATAATGTCTTAAAAAATTTTAACTTTCTACTTTTTATTTTCTTTTTTAATTAATTCAGTTGAAAGTTACCATTAAATACAAAAACTTGAAATTTTGAATATTTTTATTTTGTTTTAGACACAAAAGATGTACCAAATCAATTGGAATCAGTGAATGAAGAGAAAAGCACCGAAGAAGAGAAAGAAACGAATTTGGAAAAAGATAAGGAAGTCGAAAAATTGTCAAGTGATAAGAAAGAAGAAGAGGAAGAGGACAGTGATGATGATGATGATGATGACGACGACGACGACGATAGCGATGATAGCGACGATGAAAGTGAAGATGAAAGTGCAGATGAAAGTGAAAATGAAGACAAAGCTGATGCCGAAATGAAAAAATGCCATAATCCTCCAAATTCAGAGAAATCTTTAGGAAATGAAAAATTAGCCTCTGAGTACGAACAATTCATGAAAATGGTGTCTAACGATAGTGCCTCGAAATCGTTAAAAATTCCACCGACTTCTTCGAATTACAACGAATTTAACCTTGACTCAGAGTTAGTCAAACAGACAAATTGTAAATATGTCAATCAATCATCAATAGTTGACGAGTCACAAAAATTGCTAGTCAAGGAGAAAAATTCCAAAATGAATGAGGAAAAAATTCTTTCGGACAGCGAAAAAGACAAAGGGGAGAAAATGAATAAAAATATTTCTGAAAAAGAAGAAAAAACATTGCTAACCGTCGAAAAAGGGGAAAAGAATTTGTCCGTCATTAATAAAAGTGGAAAAAAAGTTTCCACCATTGAAAAAGAAAAAAAAACTTTATCCGATGGTGAAAAAGTATCAGAAGAAATGGATAATGTAGCGCGAGATGAAACAGTTATTAAACCCATTCAAGAGTCATCAGAAAAGACTAATAGGACAAAAACGAAAGATAAAATTAATGAGAGTCAAGATTCCGACTCGCGATCAATTCCGAGCGATTGGGAAAATGTGCGAATCAAAGTTGAACAATTGAGCGACGAGAATGTTGAGACAAAGAAAATAAAAAAGAAGAAGAAACAAAAAAAAAGATCGTATTCGACTAGCAGTGAGTCGAGTTCATCGTCAAGTTCATCAGAATCCGAGGAGAAAACAACTACGAAAAAGCGACGAAAGAAAAAAGTTGTACAATCGAGCAGTGATTCTGATAGTAGCGATTCGAGTTCGAGTGAATCCACGAGTTCCGATGACACGCGGAAAAAGAAACGAAAGCGCATCAAGAAAAAGAAGCGAGTAAAGAAATCAACAAAGAAATCAAAAAAGAAACGCTCAAGAAAACGAGCCGATTCAACGAGCAGTGATTCGGATGATGCCAGAAAGAAAAAACGACTCAAGAAGAAGAAACTTCGAAAAAAATTGGCCGAAGTTAAAGAAGAAACGTCACGCAAGCGGAAACGAAAATCGTCAACAAGATCATTGAGCAGTGATAAAAATCTCAAACGACTTCACGTTGAAAAGACTGAAAATGACGGTAAACGTAAGAAAAAACGACGATTCGATAAATTGAAACGTACAAAATTATCCAGTGACCTTGAGAAACGAATTCTCGCCGAGGCTTTATCACCGGACAGTGTTCTGTTAAAAGAATGCGACACTGGTAAGGAGCAAAATCTTATTCAAGAACAGGCGCGAAAGCAGAAAAAGAAAAAGCGCGACATCAGTGAAGATCGTTTGTCCGAATGGGAGAAGGAGTCAATTCTCATGACTCGGCAAATTGAGGGAAGTCTCGAGCATGAATTAACATCCGACGATAGCTCCGAGAAGGAAGTTATCTTGAAGAACGCCGAGAAGGAAAAACGAGACGCGAAGAAACGAGAAGAAAGAAAATTAAAGAAACGAGAAGAAATAAGAATTAGAGAAGAAAAAGAAGCAATAAAGAGAGAAGAAGCAAGGAAAAAAGAAGAAAATAATAAGCGAGAAGAATCAAAAAATAAAGAAGAAGAAACCAAAGTAGCGAAAGAAGAAATGGAGGAAACATTGGGGAAAAAAGTCGTTGTTCCCGTTAAAGAAATCGAAACAATTGTAACTGAGATAAAAGAAAAACCGGAACAAGTTGGAAAGAAGGAAACTGAAATTCTCTCCGAATGGGAGAAGGAAAGTCAACGAATAACAAACGTTTTGAAATTAATTGATTCTGAACCATTGAATGTTTCATCATTAACGCATCTCGATGTGGAAACACGAAAACGTGATATTTTAGCCGACGAGTGGGAAGTCGATAGTCTCGAGTCGATTCGTGATGCAAAAGCACGAAAGAAAAGTTCAACACGTCACGAGAAAGTGAAATATGATATGAAAACGGATACGTATATATCCGTTGAGAGAGAAGTTTCACGTGATAACAAAAAGAAACAGGAGAGGCTCTCAGCAATTCGTATTTGGGAAGAGGAACAGGAAGAAGGCGATAGAGAGGAAATGCTTCTAATTGAGGAAAAATCAAAACTGCAAAATTGGGATATAGAGGATGAATTTACGAGAAACGATTCTTATGTCAGTGTGGAAATTAATACAGATGATCTTTTACAGAATAATTTAAAAGATGAGACAAATAAGAGTGAGAAGATTGTGTTAATGGATGCTGAGAGAGATGAAAATGTGAAGAAGAATGATGGTATCGATAAGAGGAGAAGGAAGAGTCGGTGGGATGTTGGAAACCAAGTTGAAGACAAAGATGATATCAATATGACACCCGTTATGTGGGAAGAAGAATGTACTGATTGGCAGAAAACCTCTGGTACAGAATCTGCGTTATTGCATTTGGCTAAAGTCAAAGAACAAATTAGTCCTATTTTGGAGGCACTTCCGGAGAAAATAAAATTAGAGAATTTTCATATTACAGATTCGCCGGATGTCTTTCAAAAGAAATTACAGAAAATGGGATTGGCGGAAGATTGGCTCGCTAATGATCCTCTTGAGAAAAAGACATTTGTTTGTAAAAAGGAAACTGAGAAGACGGAAACAGAAACAACTGCGAAGCTCAAATCAATTGTTGAGCTACAAGATCAGGAGATGAAAAATGTTCATCTCTACAGTCCCAGTTCTCCTGCTCTTTCTCAAAAAACTGAGGTGAGTTTTTAAAGTTTGCTAAAATTATATTTCTTTAAATTTATTTTAAAACTTATTTTGTTCATCGAAACAACATAATTTTTATTTGAGGTTTATTATTTTGAGTTATACCTATTATTAAAATATCTGTTGAATTGTAGGTTTCAACTGAGGACGAAAAACAGGAAGAAACAAAGAAAATAGTTCATTTGCTTGCGAACAATTCAATTTGCAACATTCCTTTGCCATCTGAAGTACCAGCTAAATCATTATCAACAACAGCTCCCGCAATTCTGAAAGAAGAAACTAGGATTGACGAAAAGAAATTCGATGATCCCGACAAATACAACGATTTACAACTGGACAGTCTGAATCCTGAGAATGAAGATATAATCGATTTACATCCAGGAATTTTGGAGGCTGAACTAAACGAAACGAGCGATAAAGAATCGTCAATTGGGGAACGTATTCTATTACCTGATACTCCAAAGGACGAAAGTCCTTCGGAAAGTAAAATCTCTCTGAAACTTGTCTCAAAACCGCTTCTCATACGTCGACCGATGGATTCGTCATTAAATCTCGATTCCAATTTGAAACAAGTTTTTGAAAATCCATCTGATTACGAGGACAGTTCTAAAGTGCAAGAAGATGCAAATAACGACAAAACAACCGATAAAATCGAAATTCAAAAAGCGGAGAAGAAATCTTCGAAATTAGAGAAAGTCGAGGGAAAAAGTGAATTTCGTGATAAAGTGTCAAGTAAACGAGAAAAAGATTCAGATTCTCAGCGTTCAAAGTCACCAGTGAAAGAAAAAAAGAGAAGTCCGAAAAAAGATCGTGACAATGATCGAATTAAGACTAGGTATCACTATAATGACGCGAAAGATAAAGAGATAAATCGAGGTGATAAAGAGCGAGGTTCAAAACCAGTACACAATGATAAAAGACGATCGAGTCCGCAGAACAGTCGAGGAAGAACAGCCAGAAGCGGAAGTCCTTGGGAAAATGAAACAAGTCCAAGTCGAAGTAAAAGTCGAAGTAAAGATCGTAGCCGAAGTCGAAGTTTCAGTCCAAGTCTAAGAAGAAGAGACGACAGTAGGGACAGAGACAAGAAGTTTGATGATGATCGATTTTCAAAAAGTAATAAATTTTCAAGCGATCGCAAGGACAGGGGAAATCGAAGTCCTCTCAAATACAAAGGTAAATTATCAAACATATATCACTCATTTTTAAAATTTATCACGTGATTTAAAAACAGATTTTTATAGTTTATAACAATTTCAAATTATTGTTTATTAAACTTTGTCGATTTGCAGAAAATAGAAAGCGTTCTTCACAAAGATTATCACCACTGAGAAGTGATCGAGACCGGCCCAAAAGAAGATACGACGATAGTATGGAACGCGAAAGAGAAAAGCCTTACGATCCAATGGAAATTTTGCGAGAAAAAAGTTTAGATGCTGAAAGACTTCGAAATAACAGGTACGATTAGATGTAGGAAATTCCGTGTGATATTTTCATTTTTTTTTTTTTTTTTTTTTTTTAATGAAAAGATTAAGGTACAGTATTTAGAATGATGTCTATTTAAGGTTTCGGAATGAAGATGAACCACAGAAATCTTATTGGCGATTTGGCGATGATAATTGTCAAAAAGATGACGAAGAATCTCTAGACTCTTATAAAAGTAGACAAAATTCCGCATTAGATTACGACGAGAAATTCTTCATTAAAAATCCAAGTTTAGACATGAATCTCGATGATCCTATATCAAGTCCGATTGCTATTAAGGCGAGCAGGTACATATTTTTCAAAAATTGATGTTTGTTTTTCTCATCGTCTTCGACTTTTGTCCTCTTTCACTTTCATGGTGGTTCTCCAATTGGTAGCAATCATTTTCAATTTCTTAAAGATTATATTTGTTTAAAAATGCATTTTATTATGATTATAGAAGTAGAGCAAGAAGTACTGAGAGGCGTGATCGAGGATGGGAAAAAAGTCGAATGTCACCGGATTCGGATAGAGGATTAAATCTTCGCAGGGGAGACAAATTCCCCTTGAGACGATCACCTCTACGGCGCAGATTGTCCAGATATGATTCACGATCAAGATCGCGCTCTTGGTCTAAGACTAGATCCAGATCCAGATCTTTAACAAGATCAAGGACCAGAAGTAGATCTCGATCTCAGTCTCGATCAAGAGTGAGACTGAGAAGTCCGAATCGTCGTCCGAGATCTCTATCAAGATCCAGGTGAATAATTCAAAATACTTGAAAGCGAATACAAAAATATTATGTAATTGTAAAGAAATGGATTGTGATAAAAATTTCTGATCCGTTAGATCTTTGACCCCTGAAAGAGGCAGGCGTGTTCACATGGAAAGGTTAAGGGAGGACGATGTCAGGATCAAGCCTATGGAATCGACGATATCTTGTCCCGATAGAGACAGACGCATGGAGACGATTATACAGTTAACAGGTGGCACCGATTCCGCGACTGACCCCGCTGTCATGGAATCAGAAAGAATTGCCAATGAAAGTGTAGACAATATGAATAGTTCGCACTTTCGTTATCCCAGTGAAACTGAGACCGGTAACGAATATAGTTACTATCCTAGGAATAATCTCACTTATCCTCCGCGTATCGATGAAACACCTTCATCTCCAAAGCGTCTGTCTCTTGACGAAAGGTAATCTACGAATTTTTCTTTTTACGCTCCTCTCCACACCTCATCCTCCCTTCAGCCTTCGTTATGAAAATCCTCCGTGTGACATATTCCAATTGTCATTCATTTCCTATCTCGTTTTCGACTAAATATTTAATTTCTTGTATATTTCAGTAATAATTATCTGATTTTTGAATAATAATAAAAATAATAATTTCGAATTTGAAAAACAGACTTGAGCTGGAATTGGGAATTAAGAAACCAGTCCCATCTGGAGATTACAACCCTGGTAATTTCAATTGTAACGCATATTCAGCGTCTCCATCGCTGCAACCCCAAAGAACTTTCCATCAACCATCTACAGTCTTACAAGTAAGTTTATTAACTTAAGAAAGCTGTTTTACATGATTGTGTAATTTTTTATTAAATTAAATTATTACATATGATTTCAGGTTGGCAATGTTTTACAAGTGGTACCTGGAGATTATGCAGGAATGTCAACACCGGGAGCAATTCGAAATGAGGTGCCTGCGACATCGTCACCGGGAGCAAGTAAAGTTGTTCGAGTTGGAAATGTATTGCAGGTCGTGCCCACGACAACAATTGATTGGAGTAATAATTCTCAACCTCCGATCGATCGTAAAAATGCAACGAGATACCCTGTTATTGTTCCACCTTCACCCATTAATACACCTACTTCTGTGCCAATTCCAGTACCACTTCCCGTACCTGGTCCTGTTGCTGTTAATCCACAAAGTCTCATTACCACTGTATCTACTGGTTCCATTTCCCTGACACTTCCAAATGCTCTGAGTCTTCCAGTACCACTGCCGATTCCAGCGAACGTCACGACACCTCCTAAAAGCAAACCCGTTGCTCCACAAGGTAATTTTTCTTTTTTTCCCCTCTTTCATTTTCTCTTTTTTTAAAATTAAAACAAAAGATTCATTTTTTAATACAATTTTATAATAGAAAATAATAATTGTGAGAACCATTTAATTTTTACATTCTTTCTTTTCATTTCGAAAAGTGCCAACAATGCCGGTTTATGATTACGAAGCGATTTTGGAAGTGCGCCGACGAGAGAAAGAGGAACGTAAACGAGTGCGCGAGGAACGCAAGAGGGAGAAAGAACGACGAAAAATGGAGCGTGCGAAACGGCGGGCTGATAAAATACTTGGAAGAAAACTTCTCTCGCAACGTAACGATGCCGAGCAGAAGAAATTGGATCATCATTTGAAAAAGAAACAACCTATGGAAGAGATAACAGTGTCTGATGTATTGGCATCACTGGAGGATGAGAAATCGGAAAGTACAAAAGAGGAGGAGGAGGAGAAGGAGGAGAAGGAGGAAACGAATGTCGCGATTGCTATCGCACCAGTGGGAAAATCGGCGACCGAGGGCGAAGAGGAGGAAGAAGTCGAGGAGGAAGACGAACACGAGGATGACGAGGATGAGGATGGTGACGAGGAGGAAGAAGAAGAGGAAGAAGAAGAAGACGAGGATAAGCAGTCTAGTCGACTAGCTCAATCAGACGACGTTGCCACTGCTGCGGAATCTGAGGAAGCCGTACAACCGGAAGTCGATGCTAGAGAGTGGCCCTCCTTGCCTCCGGCGCCTTTGAAAGGCATTCTCGTGTGTCCAGGTTTCGGGTAAGCTTAATTCCATTTTCTGTTTTTTAAATTTAGGTACATTTAATAGTAGTACATTTTCTTCTTTTTGCAGCGGCTTATCCAATGGCGTTGTAGATAATGATTCCGAGGATGAGAATGCGGAGAAACGTGAAGAAGTGGACGAGATGAATGAAGAATCGAAAGATACGAATCGAGAGGAGGGTAAAGATAATAATGGAGATGAGAAAACGAATGTACGAGTAAAGAAGAAAAAAATACGAAAACCTCAACGCGTTAAGAAAAATGTTCAATTCGCCGATGGAATTAGACCAGGCGAGGGAACTAGTCCAAGTGGAGGGGAAGGTGAAATGCCATCTCCACCACCACCGACAGCAGTGGCAATTTCCAAGGAAAGTGTACTCGAACTCATTAGGAAGTCGCGGTACAGAAAGAGCAGGAGAAAGCAGAAACGTATCAAATCATCAAAAACGAAGAAGAAGGTTAAGGTGATTAGATCGTAGCTTTTTATATATACTTTTTTATGCTTCTTTAGTAGGTTTGATTTTTTATAATTTCTAATAATATCACTTATATAAAATTAAAAATAAAAGTAATTGGATAATTATAAAAGAATGAAAATTTGTTTTCAATTTTCTGATGCAGGTAATTCATTTTTGCTATTTTAAAAAACAAATTGTGCTTTATTGTATAATTAATTTAAATAATATCGAAAAATGAAAAAATAAATTATATGATTAGTTAATAAAAATAAATTTTATTTTCTGCAGGTAAAAATAATAAAATTGAAGAAACCGCGAATAACTCCATTGACTGCACTAATGTTGGAGGATTCAGACGACGCGGACGATCGTTCACCGCCACCACCACCTCCAGGGTCTCCGCCGCCCCCAAACATGTGGCCCAGCTATCTTGCCGCTTACAATGCAACATTGAAAACTGTCACGTCAAATCCACTGCCTCCACCTGCTCAACCGCCACCACCGCCGACACCATTGCCTTTATTGGTACCACCACCTCCTCTCAATTATACAATTCAGCCTTGCAGCAAAGCCTTGAGTTGAACTCCCCCTTTGACGACACTCGCTCAGGTGGTCAAGACAGCTTTTTTGTATATAGACAAAGTAATATTACTAAGTAATATAAGAATGACACGCTTTCTCGGATATTTCGATCTTTCACCAGGTCCCATAGATTTATTCAAATATTGCATTCGCAATAAAAAAAAAAAAAAGCAAAGTGGATCCAAGTAGAACAATCTGCGATAATCTCTGCATTAAAATATAATCTTTGTAGAAAATCCTCGAAATTGAAAATATGTTGCAAAATGTAAGTCAATTTTTAATTGCTTAATGAATTTTTTTTTCATTTTATTATTATACTGGGTTTTATTATATTTAAAACTTGTCAAATAATTGTGAAATGTATAAATCTGATTTTTTTGTTCAAAGTTATCGAATTTTTTGTATTCAGTTTTTAGTAGAGAGTGTTGCAGATGAAAACTTAACCACTCGAGTAATTATGATTTGTATTTCTTTTATTTTTTTTTTTACAATACTCGAATTTCTTTGCTCATAGAGAATTATAGTCGATACTGGTGCAAAGAAGATTAAAATGAATGTTAAACATACGCGATTATGCTGGCGTTTTATTTTATTTTATTTTTTTTATTGAAGACTTTGATGAAGCTCAAAAATTGAAAAATTTCCTCAAAAGTTTATGCATTTTACAAATCATAATAAATAAGTCTTTAAGAATTTTATGATTCTTTAAATTATAATAATGTTAAGAATTTGACAATTTTTCATGTTGATAATTATGATCAATTTTAACATTAATTGTGCTATTGAAAAATGATTTTCATTTGGAAATGTAACTTTTAAGCTTCATAGAAATTTTCTTTCTATTTCTCAATAAAAGTTAATTGGTATTTTTTTCTATAAAATATTAGTGTCAAGTATTTTAGCGATAAATTTGAAAGCAATATTATTTTTACACAGAGGCGCCAATGTACATAAAATAAATAAATTTGTCTCTATAACTTTCGGGGTTGACATGCGCGCGCTTTACTTCTGTATCCGAAAATTTTTTTTATATTTATTGTTCATAATTCATCGATTATGCAGGTAAACTATTGTTGTATTTTACGAAATTAGTATTATTTATTCATGATGAGAACTATTGAAAGGATTCATCTTTTTACAGTGAGATGTAAATAAACAAATATAAAAAGTATCATTTATTTCTTGTCTCCTTTAAAAACAATTGATTTGCACCTTTTTTTTAGATACATGATTATGAAACAATATTGATTTATTAATTAATACTTTTTTATTATTTTAGAACGATTTATTTTTAGTGGAATAAATTTATTTCAAGTTTCTGTGCATCTTATTTAAAACTCGCGCGCATCTTTATTAATCATTCTTTGCGAATGAATCATTTTGTGCAATTAAATACGAGTGTTTTTTCCGTATTGGCATATAGATAAAGTCAATTAATTTAATTGAAATAAAAAATGAATGTAGCGGTTGTAGGTGGTGGAATCGTCGGTTTATCCACAGCCCTTAATTTCCAGAACGAGTTTAGAGATTCAAAAATTACAATTTTTGCTACTAGTTTCCAAGATACAACAAGTCATGTTGCCGCAGGTATTTTTCGAGTTGGAGCATCGTTTTCTGGACCCTCTGATGCGATAACTTGGTAATTCACTGATAAAAAGGCTTATAATGGCGTGTGTTTCATAATCCAATTGGATTTTTATTATATTTTATTTTTTTTATTAATTATACTGTTATTGTAATTTTTGTTATATTTTAGGAAATGGATCAAAAATTCCTATGATTATTACGATGATATTCGAAAATCAGATGAAGCTGCTTTAGCTGGTATCACAAATATTTCTGGTTATATATTTGCTAACTCTTCTCCAAACGCTGTAAAGGTATATTATAATTAATAGTTCTTTTGTTAGTATTTATAAATACCACATTGATTGTAATTCAACTTAATAAGTTTTGGATGATTCGATAAACTTTAATGATGCAGAAAAAAAGATATTTAAATTTCTTATGTAAAATCAGAATCAGTGGATGGAAAATCTAGTTCCAATTTATAGAAAAGTGACTTCTGAAGAATTGCAACTTGTTGGAGGAAATTGGAAATATGGATCATTTTTTACCACGATTCTTAATGAAACCAATAACCATCTTCCATGGGCGAAACAAAAGTAAATTTTTTCCAATTTTAATAATACTTATTTGATTTTTAATTATTTGAAAAGTAAATAAACTTTTTATTCAGATTAAATTCAAATGGAATTGTTACGATTGAAAAAACTGTCAACACACTGAAAGAATTGATTGAATACGACCTGATAATTAATTGCTCAGGATTTGGAGCTCGGGAACTTTGTAATGATAGACACATGGTTCCAATTCGTGGTCAAGTTACAAAAGTAAATTTTCTTATTTTTTCTTTCAAAAGTTCTTTCCTTTTTTTAAATTTATTACATGATTTACACTATTTACAGGTGAAAGCTCCATGGATTAAAACCTTTTTTTATGGGGAAAATGATACTTACATCATTCCTGGATTCAATGGGGTTTGCACTCTAGGCGGAATTCGATCTTTCGAATCAGTTAATCGAGAAGTTTGTTCTTACGACGCAGCAGCCATTCGAGAAAGATGTTTTAAGTTGCTTCCATCATTATCAAAAGCTCAAGTTTTACGACACGTAACGGGAATAAGACCTCATCGTGAAGGTCACGTACGAGTTGAATTGGAACGCATTACCAATGGACTCGTTGCAAAAATGGTAAGTAATTAATTATTATTTATTTTTAAGTAAACACTCTCGCCAATTACCACAATTATTATTGTTCATTTTAATAATTTACTATTTTTTCTTAATTTGCATTTTCAGGTAATACATAATTATGGTCACGGTGGTTATGGTGTTTCTACAGCTCCTGGAACGGCAAAATATGCGGTCGAGCTTGCAAAAGAAACTCACCGAATGTCTTCTCGACTTTGATTCGAAAAAGTAAGAAAATTTTCCTAGCTCTTTTGTCGATAAATTAGAAAAAATTGCATTTTTTTGAAAAAAACAAACAAATTTTCTAAAAGACAGACATTTTATTGACGAAAAACATATTTCGTTATGGATTTATACAAGAAAATCACTACTGCGCAGTAATACTGGGTGAGAAAGTCGTCCATCTGTAATTTTACCACGAGCGATGCGCAATAATCGCGCGTGACTTTACAACTGGTCTCTTTTTGGTCAGAAAACAAAATTGAAAAGATTAATCAAACTAAATTAAGAGAGAAAAACTAAAGGAATCTGTGATTAAAACATTTAAACTTTACAAAGCACAGATATAAACACGTGACAAAAGAAGCAATTTCAAAGAATTTTGTTCATTACGAGTGATAAAGAACAAAAAAAAACAAAGCCTCGCCACGTATCGTTGTTTAAAATTCTTTCAAGAATTTACTCTTTTCTCGATTGAATGATGATTTTTTCCTGCTTTTATTTTCTTGTCACCGGGCATGTCGAAACAGCAAGAAATTCATTAAAGCGAGCGCTATGGATTTTGAGATTTTCTCACGATTATCTGGCCAAAGATACTCGTCCGCTAGGCACGCTTACAATTGTAAATTTGAGAATAAAAATTCTGTGAGATTTTCACGCTATTTTTTTCCTGGTTTAATGTTTTTTCTTAATGGCGCACCCCATCGTAAAGCACTACTGTCAACTGTTAATCTCGGCCTCTTGTATTGACTACTCCTCATGTGTTCCTCAACGAGTTTCGGTGTCACACAAATGACATGCTGCCCCTTCCAATATTTCACCATGTTCATACTTTGAAGTGTCGATATTATGTCCGTCTGCGATATGCTCGTCATATGACTAAAACCAAAATATTTTTTACAGGAACCACTTTTTCACACAAAACTGAGTGACATGAAAATTTTTCAAAATAAGATATGTATTTTTTTTCATTACCAAACCAAACAGAAATAAAACATGTTGTTAAATAAGATTATTGTTTAAAAGAAAAGAATCTCCTTTTTTTATACCTTAAATCTTTGATGCTGAGTGTTCCCCTGAAATCGCGGAGAATCTCTAAAAGGATCCAACTCCAATAACTTCGGTAAGAGAGTTTTCCTAAATCGCTCAACGGTTTCTCGGGACTGCCAACAGCTTGCTCAATTCTACTCAGTTCATAACTGAAGGCAATCAACAATTTGCCATATCCTTGACGTTGAAATGGAGGGAGAGTTAAAATGCACGCAACATTGTTACCATCCGGAGATTCTTTTTCTTTGGAAAAATAGCCAACAATATGTGCTCCGTGTTTATCAACTTCACACAAGATGTAGAAAAGAAACGGTTCCACGTCAAAGTACAATGTTTTATGATCCAGGAATAATTTCGCAAGTAAACACAAATTCTGACAATAAATCTTGTGCTCTCTTCCGTCTACTTCCCAAATGCTCAATGTTCCTTTACGATAAATTTCTTTTCCTACTGGTTGTCTGTGTATGCATTCACTCTAGAATAGTACAATCAAAATTAATTTATAAAAAACAATTCATTTTTCGTTTGAAAAAAAAAACTTACCATGTGATAACGATAAGTCTTTTCTAAACGCATATATTTGAGGCAGTATTCACAAATCCAAAGTTTTGGTTGTTTGCCGTATTCTTCCGGGTAAGGACTAAAGTACCAGGTGTCAATTTCATATTTACCTGAAAGGTCACTTTTAACAATCGTGAGGTTCCTTCATATAATACAATTATCAGAAAAAACAGAAATGAACTCTTACCTATTTGTATTTTATCGATATATTTAACTTTGGTGATGGCCTCGTGTTCTTTTTCCAATGCCGCAGTTGTTGGATCCATTTCTGCATAAGTCTAAAAAAATTAAATTTATATGAATATTGCAAATAAAAATGTAACTTTGTCAATTAAAAAAATGACAAATTTTCAAAATATGTGAAAAAATTCTAAATATAAATAGAACAAATTACTTATTCGGAATGTTAACCTTTTGTATGTGATTAATTTCGTCGTGTCTTCTTTTTTGATTTCTAGTAATTTTTCGATCCGTTGAATCTGCGAGTAAATCAGTCGCTGGATTTCTGTCGCTATTTTTCCACGAGCGATCGCTCATGTCAAATCTACTGGACATAATTCTATCTCTCGGAACCCACTCATCCAATCGTCTGTTGTAACCTTCGTAGTGAACATAATATTCATAATGACTTTCCCCTTCATTATAACGTGTTTGAATAATTTCGGCAGGATCTAAAGTTATTAAAAAAAAAACAACATTAATTATCTGAAGCATATATTTCTATTATTTAAAAATTAATTACTTTAAAAATATTCACATATATCTTAAAACCAATTGCTTTAAAAAATGATTAGAAAATAAATCACTCATTGTAAACAATTTTTTAAAATAATTTTCTTATCAATAAAACAATGAGAAGATAGAAAAGTGTCAATTTTTCCTAGTAAAATAAAAATAAAACGTATACACATTATGCCATATATGAAACTATTGCGTAATGTGATATTTGAAACAATTCTTTAATTTTTTAAAGCCCCAAGGGCTGTAGGAACAGAAAAAAATTGATTGATAAATTCCTTTGTAAAACTTGTTCGTACATGTTTGCAGTAAACAAGTAGAAATTAAGAAAAGAAAAATGATAGGTCAAGCAAACCGCGTGGAAACGGCGATCGGCACCGGAACCGGTCGAATATTTCCGAGGTGGGGGGTGGGAAACAAAGCATCGAAACGAATACGAATGGAAGTGGTTTACTCAAAATTATGATTTACTCACGCCAAGAATCATCGGATCTACGGACTAAATAATGCTCCCCAATGTCCAATGGTAATTCCTCGAGACTGTCTGCATCGTCCCCCGAGCCCTTACCACCATTTGTCAAACTGTTCTCACGTTTTTCTTCCTTCACCATCGTTTCTTTTGACGCCGACGTTGAATCCTCCTTTGTTCGATGTTCTGCATCCGCCATCTTCGAGGCGACACCAAATTCAGAAACCACGGACCACGCGCAATCGCCGGCCGAGCAAAATTCACACTAAACTGGGATTTCCGGTTGTTTCCCATTTCACTATTCCCGCCATAACAGAGCAAGAGGAAAGTGTCACTAGCGATATCTGGTGGAAGTTTTGTTCATAGATATTCACAATTTATTTTTTAATTAATTGCAATAATTTACTCTTTAGGAAGATTTAAAATATTGCAATTAATATCAATAATAAATTAATTGACATTTTTTTCTAGTTAATAAATGTTTTTTATAACTTTGAAAAAGATACAAATAAATTTAATAGTGGAGGAATTTGAACTCAATCGAAAGTAGCGAATTTTTGGAGGGAAAATCAAAATGCGCTTGAATTTAAATTTTTTAATTTAAATAAGAAATAAAATAATAGAATAGGAATAAAACAAATAAATATTAATAAGAATATCTGTATAAAATAGTCAGATATTATTTTATTAATTATTATTCATTGATTAGGTATATTTAGCAAATTAATTAAAATTTAATTAAAATGGAAATTCCAGACAAGATTAACTTTTTTATTATAATGTAAACTATTTAAAGAACATTTTATACAATAACCCTTAGAAATTAATATAAACAATGTAATTTGTAAACAAAAAACAAATTGACATTTTTAAGGAATGTGAACAATATTTTAATATAAATTACGCTGATATTTTTACATTATTTCTGAAACGAAAATGACTTCAATAAAAACTTATTTTTTCGCTTTTCTTAAACGTCCATTCTTTTCAAATAAAAATAAGTGACATAAAATGGAAGCAATAGAATGTGTTTTATATTACTCATAATCAAGTAAATTTCTTTGCCAACAATTTTATAAATTACATTCTAAACGTAATAAATTATCATTAATTACAAATATTATCCAATTAATAAAAAAGACTAGAATGAAGTTAAAAAAATACTGTTTAAATGTTATGTATATAATAATATTGAAGATAAAATTTTAAGAGATTTTAATTAATTTAAAAGCGAAAAACAGCTGAACACTTAGTGCGTATTTTATGTAACGCTATAATCATATAAAACTTTTCATTTCAATTTTTATCTGTCCTTACAAACATGGGAAAAACAAGTTTAACCTAAAAAAAACTTAATATTTTTAAAGAAATTGAATTTTTGTTAATTTAAAGTTTTAAAAAACCTTGTTTTAAAGCTTTCTTGTGAAAACATTTTTAACTTGCCAAAAGAAACAATTTTGTGCTAAAATATATCACTATTCGTGCCATAAATATTTTATTATTCGTGCTCAAAATAAAATTTATAAATTTCTATTCGTTTGGCATCAATGTTCAATGAAACATGAATTATGTAAAATGTCTCAAGGCGTTTGATGAATATTTTTTTTATGCAAATGTCACGTAGAAATTTGATTATTATCATGGTAATAAAAAATATTGTGATCATCACTTACCGGAGTTATTTATCTGCAGTCTTTTTCTTCGCAAAGGAGCGATTCAAATTTGTTATTTGTAATTAATTAAATAATTTGATAATTATCAAATTTGCACTCCTCATAAATTTTTACATTTATATGCGAATATCATGTTTCTTTTTGCATTTATGTTTATATTTCTGTTCCATTGATGGAAAATTTGATAATTCATTGTAGTGCCGATAAAAATCATGATGAGCGTATGATCAAGAAGTTATTTTGGCACCAAGCAATTGAGGTCTCAGATGTTTTTCTAATCTTTTCTGCTGTTGCTCGTATAGTCGTTGTTCTCGCTCCCGTTTCCTTTGCTCTCGTAAAACTTCTGTAGGATCACCGAATTCTTCAGCGGTTTCTTCCTCCCAACCAGTCGCATTTTCTTCCCATTCTTTAAGCTCGTTCTAATACATGACAAAAGTTTTTAAAATAATTTGAAAATATATGTAAAAAAAATTAAACAAAGTTTTGAAACGATTATTATACATTACAAATATTGGTTTTTGAATTAAACTATAAAGGAAAATTAACGAATAATTAAACATACCGTTGGCAACGGATCTGTCATTATTTCGAATTTTGACGAGCTGTTGTTCACGTTCTCAGACTTCTTATCTCTAATTAAAATTTTGGTTTGTTTGGTAATATTTGGAGTCATGTCCTGCAATCAATTTTTTTGTATTGAATTATAATCAACTCTTGATGTTATTTGAAAAAATTATGTCTTACTTCGAAAAAGTTTGGATGTAGTTCTTCTTCAGGAGATGGCGGTTTGAATACTTGTTGTCGGTATTGGTCTATTTTTTCCTGAATAGGATTTATCGGTTTATTTGAAACAATAACGACTGGATTTTCTTCCCACTGTTCCCATTGCACTAATTCCTTAAAATAGAAATTCGATATGAACATAATAATTATTATACAATTTGGTAAGAAAGATAAATTTAATTTGAGGCAAAGTAAATATTAAAAAATGAGTTTAAAATTATAAAAAAAACATAATAACAGAAAATATTGTTATATAAAATCGAAACAAACTTATTGTTGCCATTGTCAAATGGAAACCAAAAAGTACACAAATTTGGAGTCATATAATCAAACTCACTTCCCTATTATTGAGAAGGTCAGGAACTACTCCAACTGCAGAAAGAGGAATAGAATCACAAGAAGACCTTCTTCTTCGTCGAAAACAACACATGGCACGTCTAAATGCACCAAGCAGAAGAAGAAATAAGGCTTTTAACCGGTTTACCAAAAATTGCAAAGCCATTTTCCACTGAATAAGAAAACTAACCTGTTAATAATTTTCTGCCACAACGACAAATTTTATTTATCTTGATTTAATTAAAAACAGTCCCTTTATGAGAGACAGAAATTAAGTAATGGCTTACATGTTGTTAATTAACAGGTTTTAATTAGATTTTTAGGTGTCTGAATAGAGTTATATATATTATACTTATTTGAGCAAAAATTTAACTAACTTTAAAAAAAAAAACTTCCAAGGTCATAATGTTAATGATGATAAACAGGGTGAGGAAGGTATTACGTCTAACTTAAACTATAAGGGTGCATTCATACATACGGAACTATTAACGTAATTTACGTTTCAGAACCCAGGTGGAACGTTCGAAATGCAGCATGTACATACATACACAACCCTGAAATTTGACAGTTAAATAACAATCATTTGTCGTTTAGTTCGTAGTTCACAGTAGTTCATTGCCGCTTTCTTACTACTACAAATGTTATTAACTTATATGGGAAATTAATTTAATTTGTTTTTCGGTACTTGATAATTCTTTTGTCAATGAAAAAATGATCGTTTGGGAAAGATTTCGTAATCATTGTGCATGGAATGGTGGTGCTAAACAAATTTCCGTCGATGCAGTAATTCCGATTTTTATGATACCAATTTTAACGGTTATTGCCGCACAATCACTCTTATGTACCGCTGCAATATTCCTAATAACACCACCGCTTATTTATTATCTTCATCATAATTTTTTACGATTTATATTGAGAACAAAATTTTTTTTTATGTGGACAGTGACGAGTGTGCTTATGATGATGCTTGTCTTTGAGTGGAGTGTTGTGCCATTGCTTGAAATTTTACCAGAGGAAAATTTAGTTTTTATTGTTTGCGTTTTTAGTGGTTTAGCTTGTGGATATAAAACACGAACATTAGCTGATCAATTCATTCAGGATGGAAATTATATTCAGGGTTTGGAACTTGGTGAAGGAAGCGGTGAATTATGCCCCAGTTGCAGGCGACGCACGCCACCAAAAGCATTTCATTGCCGTGTTTGTCAAACGTGCATTCTCGGAAGAGAATATCATTGCAAATGGTAATTGTTTATTTTTCTGGAAAACAATTTAATTTTTTTAATCTAGAAAACAGTAACCATTGTTAATTTTACACCCATTTTTGTAGAATTAAAAAATACTTTTTATTTACAATAATAGAATTCAAATTTAAAGAACAAAATATTAATTTTAATAACTTATTTATCTGATTTAGGTTGGATTGCTGCATAGGTGTCAGTAATTTACGATGGTATCTGGCTTGTCTATTTTTTTCTGCGATTGCTTTTATATATGGTTCAAATTTGACGATGACCACTGTTTGTCATCCGTTTATTTTGATCGGAACTGTTTTACTACCAGATGATTGCAGTGATGTCTATCAAGAAATAGAGTACGTATTTTAAATTGCTTTTCTGTTTATATAATTAAAGAACTTTCTTTAAATCTAGAGAATTTAATTTGGAATTTGGAAAAAATGAGGCAAGCCCTTTATAATAGAAATTAAAAAAAAACATAATTTTTTTGTTTAATTGCAGCATAGCAGTTTGTTTTATTTCGTCGATTTACAGTTTACTTGTCGGTCTAGTCATTACATGTTATTTATTTTATCACCTTTGGCTCATATATCTCGGAACAACGTCAAATGAGAGGCGCAACCTAGGAATGGAGAGTCGTTGCGACGATGGAATGCTAAAGAGTGTGTCCCGACTCTTTTGCTGTAAAATATAACTAGGTATTTTATTCTTTGTTTAAAAATTCAACATTTTTTAAAAAAATGTAACATCAAATTTTTTAGTGTTTTAATATGCAATTAGATACTTAGATGAAGAATTCATTTTGTTTCATTAATTTGAAGCTGCGTAGAAAAAATTCGATTTCGTCCTTTTTTTTGAGATGAAATCTAATTTTATATAGACCAAAACTGTGTGTGAAATAAAGAGAGAGAGAGAGAGAGAGAGAGAGAGCCATTTTTGACTGAGAAAAAAAAGAATAAGAAGCTGCTAGAAATTAAATATCTTTTTAATTTGTTTTTATCAGCAACAAATATTTAATTCATAAATAGAGACTGGAAATTGAGAGTTCTTAAGATCTGTTATAATTATTGTGCTTTTTTTGTTGTTTTTTTTTGTTGTATAGGCTGATAGCTAATTTGCCAAATGGTGTTAAAAGATTCACTTTTTGAATTGTTTCACTGCTTAGCAAAAAAAAACTGATATTTGTACAGAATTTATTAGTAAATTAAATTAGAATATTTATAATTTCTGTGCGCACACACACAAACACACACACACAACAATGGAAAGCGTTTAGAAAAAACGTTTCACACATTTAAACAGTATTTTATGAATATGCGTAACAAATAATGTGATTGTAAAATTGAATTATGAAAGTGAAATAGGAAATTGTTATAAAAATTTCCCCCGTAATATTTGTAATATATCGTCCTTATGATAAGACCATTAAGTACAATCATAATTTTCATTTTTCTCATATGATTATTATCGGGATTCATATTTTTTTACTGCCTCAATTTTAATATTTTTCACAGTTTAAAAAGAATTAAACATTATTCTTTAAATTATTTTTAAAAATAAAAAAAAGGAAACTGAAATAAAAATCTTGAGAAATATTATTAATTGAAAGCAAAAATTAAGAGTCGTGGAAAAAAGTTAATAATTTAAAAAAATTTATTCAATTTTAATTGTGAACAAACAGGTACTTATTTTATTTTATTTTTTAAAATTTTATTAGAAAGCACACACAAATTTATGTTGTTGTCGATTAAATTATAATTTATTTATTTTTGTGTTCATTATTTATTTTTCTTATGCATTATAATTGTTATTTAAGGAAATAAATTTACTCGTCTTATATGTATTTATCATTTTTTTAAAGCAGAAATTTACGTTTAATAAATTAAATATTTTCCGTATATTTGAAGCGAAATCGAAATCATTTCATCACATATCACAAATATTTATACATATACATATATATATATATTTAAGTAAACTTAGGAAAATGTCGATAAATGATAAAGGGAAAAAGATAGTCGTTACAATTTGACTTGTAAAAAAAAATATTATCTTCGATGCTCATATATTTAAAATGCAGGCAAATTGTGAATTTTTAGTGATCTCATTTTTCTTCGATTACTTTTCTTAATGTGTACTTTTAATATATAAAAACAATGTGAACATTTTTCATCGTAATAACTGTGATAAAGCGATAAAGTGACCATTGTGTATGATTATTGCAATAAATACTAATCGATTGCTAACTTTTGTTTATTGCACATAAAAAATTCCTTATTTTCTACGACTGTAAAAATAGCTTTTATAATTACGTTAATCTTAATTACTAGATGATTATAAAAGAGGAGTATATTTTTTTTTGTTAGTCATCAATTGCAACTCCCCGATGTCTAGGATCAAAATCGGGAATTACTCTTTGGATCAATTCTCGCCACTTTCGTTTTTGCTTTTCGCTCTCTTTGATTTCATTAGATATTTCAGGAAATCTCATCCATAGGTAAAAAAATTTCATCTTTAATTTTATGTCGCAATGATCGCGTGCAATTTGCTCATTTTTCTTGTTCAAAATATTGGATTTCATCGTTTGTATTTGCCAAATTTTAAAAATTTTTGATACAATTTTTAAGTCGTGAAAATCACTGGCTACGTGATATTTTTGTCTCTCATGACAAGTGTATTTTAGCCAATTGACAAATGACGACCATAATAAATTTCGTTTGTATACGGAAATTGCTAATTCCTCTTTAATTGCACGTTGTTGATCAATTTCCAATTTCCAAGCGGAAAAAAATTTTCTTACAAGTTTGTTATTGTTGTGATTTACTGCTTTGATGAAAAACACTTGTTTTTCATGTAGGAGAGCGAGAAGAGGGTGAAAAATAAATCGACGAAGAAGAAATAGTCGATAGAAATTATCAGCTCTTTCGTTGAGAAATGTTGCTCTCTCGATTTCGAGAATTCGCTTCTCCTCTCGCTCTTCACGAAGTCTTTTGGCCTCTTTTTGTGCCTAGAACATTTGTTTTTTTCTTTTTATTTAACTGAATTACTATTTTATAACAAAATTTTTAGAAATTTAATTTATTTGCATTTGTAAAAATTGAACAATTTTACTACACGTTTTGAAAATTAATTAAGAAAATAATTGATTGACATACTTCATGTTGCAATCGTTTTCTTTCGATTTCTTCTTTCTTTCGTAATTCGTTTTCTTTTCTTCGTTCTTCTTCAATTCGTTTCATTCGAGCTTCTTCGGATTTTCGTACACGTTCCCTTCGCGCTTCTGCTCTCGCTTCCATTCTTATCAAAAAATCGGGCGTTCCTGGCACTTGCAGAGTCTCTGCATATTCAGCTCTTTGAAAAAAAACATGTACTTTTAGAAAATTGTTCTCCTTCAATTAATACATAAAAAATATATAAAATAAAGTATTAAAAAAATTTCTTTTTTATAAGTTAAAAATGAACGAGAGAAGGGGAAAACGTACCTGCAGCTCGGTTCCTTCATGAGAGAAATTAATGATCTTCTTGTGTTCCTTTCACAGAAAGTTAAAGCATCCCGAGTGGCATCAATTGTATCACGATGAGCTTTTTTAGTTTCCCTATTAATTTCTTTTAATTTCAGATCCTCAATAATTTTATTTTGTAGAGCCAATTTCATTCTTTGTTCTTCGATTATTTTTCGTTGAATTTGCAGTCTTGTCTGATGGAAATTTGATTTATTCAAGTCAAATTGTGATGATTTATAATTTTTTGATATATTAGAATCGTTGTCAATTATTTTATCGGGAGCACTTTTGCAGTGTAAATTTCGTTTTGATTCCATTGTTCTTGGAGATGATGAAGATGTACATTTTCTCAATCTTCTCGATTGTCTTTGTTTCTCGGCAATTGCATTAATAAAGAGTTCAATTTTTCTGTCGTTGGATAATTCACGACTTTCCTTCTTCTTTTTATCCAAGGCCTTCAAATTTGTGACCCGAATTCTCCAGGCGTCGAAACATCTTTTTAAAAAAATTAATATTTTCTTTCAAATGCAAACAAAAATAGGTAATAAAATATGTCAAAAATGTTTTTTTTTCAAATTCAAACTGAAGATAGGTAAAATTTTTTTGTTTTTTTTTAAATAATTTTAGTAATACCTTCTTAATCGTTTCATCGATATTTTCTCTTGAACCTTTGTCTTCAATTCTTGAAGTCGTCGACCTTCCTGAGCATTAATTTTAAAAGATTCAAATGCTTTTCTCAAAATTTTAAAAATTTCTTCTTTCGACTCAATAACTGGCTTATCTTTAATTGTCACAGTTATATTTCCAGAAAAAATATTTTCCTCACTCATGTCTTCTGAATCACAATTTTCCTCCAAATTTTCCATCTCCACAACATCGATATCTTCCATTTTTCTAAAAAAAAATTGTATATGAATAGAATTCTTCAATCAACTGCAAATAATATGAAGAATTTTATTTACCTTGGAAAGAATTTTCCTTTATTTTCAGTAGCATCAAAATGAATCATTGCAACTCGCCAAAAATTCTCGTCATCCGAATTCGAAAGTCTATTTTTTTGACAAACATAAGGTTTACAGGATTTCCTGTTTCGGCGAAATCCTCTCTTACTTTTCTTCGAATTCTCGACAAAAAGATTTTCCAACTGCAATAATTCAGGTTCAATACTTGTTACAGGCCTAAAAATACAAATCATTAAAAATTATTATTTTAAAGTAAAATTTATTATTATATATGTAATAATTTAGTTTTCTAAAATAAAAATTTTGTTTTAAACATACTAAAGAAAATTTTTTCTTCTAAATTATAAAAAAAATCTACATGAAGAAATAAAAATTGACTCTTAAAAGTGTGAAATTTATTTACCTTTTGCATTCTAAATTATTAGAAATTTTATTATCCGGGAAGGATAATTTTAAATTTAAAATCGAGTTCGTCGTCACGAATTTCTCATCAAATGGAGATAAAATTTGTGTTTTTGGAATTTGAAAAACGGGCACTGACATTATTCTACTTATCATATACCTACTGTGTATAGGTAATTTTAATGATTATTATGAAATTAAAAAAAAAATATTCTGGATATAATAAAATTATCGATTATTATAATAATTTTTTCAATTTTAATTTAATTAATATAAATTTTTTGTATTGAATTGTGAATTTTTTCTTTTTAAAGATATTATTTTCAATTAAAATGTAGAAGGTATAATATGGAAACTGTTGTTTATACATGAGATATTCTGTCGTTAAGGTCATTTTTAACCCTAAGTTCCACAAAGCATTATAAACAGCAGCAGAGGTCACAGCACGATAACAGTGAGTCACTTCAAACTCAGATATAACCATAGTAAAATTCATGAAAAGTCACACGGAACAGAATAAAATAATAAAATGGGTCCTCAAACCCTAAGTAATATTATTGAGTATACACTTTCCTATAGAAAGGGACATTTATATTTAAAAACTGACAAGTTATTTTATTCATTTTAAAAGAAATTAATTTTTAAAAAATGTAATTTTTTTATTCCATTACACTTTTAATCAATAAAATATTAATTATTTAAATTATTAACTACCCACACAGCACAACATCTTACACCAGGCCTACAGCAGGCTTACATGTAAGGTTTGTAAGGTAACATCGTAAGCCCATAGTAGACTTACAGTAAACCTAAAATGTCCGCCTTACAGTAAGCTTACATGGTAGGGTCGAGGTAAGCTTACATGGTAGGGTCGAGGTAAGCTTACACGGTAAGGTCGAGGTAAGCTTACACGGTAAGGTCGAGGTAAGCTTACATGGTAGGGTCGAGGTAAGCTTACATGGTAGGGTCGAGGTAAGCTTACATGGTAGGGTCGAGGTAAGCTTACACGGTAAGGTCGAGGTCAGCTTATGAGTAAAGGCTGTGGTAAGGTTATTATTAAGTTGTAAGGTTGAGGTAAGGTTGTGGTAAGCTTACAAGGTAAGGCAAGTTATATTCAAATAATAATATTAATAATAAATAAATATTCAATAAAAAAATTTTTCTTTTGCCTTATTCTATTTTGGGAACCTATCATTTCGCAGAAAGTTTTGAAAACAAATTTGGGAGGAGTAGGATTCGAACCCGGGACCGAAGTATATACCTAACAACCTAACCAACTGAGCTAAACGGGGAACTGACAATGAGAAAAGTAATCTTGCTTTTAAGGAGTTGATTATCTTCTTGGTTCCACTTTAAAAGTAAGATTACTTTTCTCATTGTCAGTTCCCCGTTTAGCTCAGTTGGTTAGGTTGTTAGGTATATACTTCGGTCCAGGGTTCGAATCCTACTCCTCCCAAATTTGTTTTCAAAACTTTCTGCGAAATGATAGGTTCCCAAAATAGAATAAGGCAAAAGAAAAATTTTTTATTGAATATTTATTTATTATTAATATTATTATTTGAATGTAACTTGCCTTACCTTGTAAGCTTACCACAACCTTACCTCAACCTTACAACTTAATAATAACCTTACCACAGCCTTTACTCATAAGCTTACCTCGACCTTACCGTGTAAGCTTACCTCGACCCTACCATGTAAGCTTACCTCGACCCTACCATGTAAGCTTACCTCGACCCTACCATGTAAGCTTACCTCGACCTTACCGTGTAAGCTTACCTCGACCTTACCGTGTAAGCTTACCTCGACCCTACCATGTAAGCTTACCTCGACCCTACCATGTAAGCTTACCTCGACCCTACCATGTAAGCTTACTGTAAGGCGGACATTTTAGGTTTACTGTAAGTCTACTATGGGCTTACGATGTTACCTTACAAACCTTACATGTAAGCCTGCTGTAGGCCTGGTGTAAGATGTTGTGCTGTGTGGGTACTTAATTTAATAATTAAAATATAATTTTTAATCTACAGCTAATAATAATTGATTAATGAACAAAATTATAAATTATACTTTTCTTTCATTATTAAATTTCTTTGAAATGCAACAAAATTTTTTTATTTAACTATATATTAATTTTAATTTTTCTCAATACTCTGCTACTATTTCACCCATTTGAATTTTGAAATTCGTGGGAATAAACCTTGACTCATTATAATGCATTCTGATTGGACGAGATTCTCCCTATAACTTGTTTATTTTAATGTATTTTCATGTCAATTAGCTGAAAATTCGAGAAAATTATGTTTAAAAATGTTTATTTGATAATATAGTTAATGTTGTTCTATAACTATACATGTATTTATTAACTATAAATAAATAAGTAAACAAATGAGGGCTAAGTTGCAAAACTAACCTCAAAATCGATGAATCGCGATTGGTTGGAATTCAAAACTCCGGTGAAGACGCGGTTTATGTGTTGAATTATATCAAAAAAGACAGTTGAAAGCGTGCTTAAAAGTGAAACATATACCATTGATGAAAAATGTTTTGGATAGATAATTTATAACATTTTATATAAATATTTCTATCTATTTATCATCGTGTATATAATTTTAGTTTGTAAAAAATGTCAGATAATATAAAAGTTGCTATAAAGGTGAGACCTTTAGTAAAACGTGAAATTGACGATTCCGAATGTATACAATGGAACGTAAGTGGAAACACCATCACTCCAGTGGATTCGAAAAAAAGAAGTGAAGGAGGATTTCAGTTTGGTAATTATTTATCTACCATTAATTAATCATAATTAGTCACAGTTGCATATGATTATATAATAATAATTGTTAAAAAAGTTGATTAAGTTTTAGGTTAGAATTATCAGACGCGAGAAATAGTTTTTAATTCTGTTCTTTCTTCTTAAATTTAGTTTAAATTTTGTAAAATTTTCAGAAATTCAGTTTTCACGTTTGAAAAATAAAACTTTTCGTTATGACCCAAAAATTTACGAAAGTAAAAAAATAGTTTAATTTTTTATTTACAATTTAATTTACGCTGCGTCTATTCGTCCGACTAGACGGACAAAATAATTTTTGATAATTTTGTCCGTCAACGTATATTTTAAGGAAACCTTGGAGGAAGGTAATTTGTAATTTAATTTAATTTTAATTTGTTGTAATTTACAGATCATATATTTGACATGGAAATAAAAAATGATGTCATATTTGACACTGTCGTTAAGCCCATTATAAATTCCGCTGTTGATGGATTCAATGGGACAGTTTTTGCCTATGGACAAACAGGATCAGGAAAAACATATACTATGATGGGAAAGAAGAAAGAACCTGGAATAACTCCACTGGCAATCCAACATATGTTCGATACAATAGAAAAAAAAATGGGTCGAGAATTTTTAATAAGGTTTTTATACAAATAATAATTTAATACAATTTTATTTAAAAAAATTAATTTTTTACATTCTCGAGAGAATCATTTTTAATAATTATGTTTTTTTGACAGATTTTCTTATTTTGAAATTTACAACGAGAAAATAAACGATCTAATGGAAATCGGTAATACAGATTTAAAAGTAAGAGAGGAAAATGGTCGAATTTTCGTTAATAATTGTACGGAGAGAGTGACTAATAGTGTAAAACAAATGTTGGATGCTATGAGTAAGGGCGAAAAAAATCGTAGTATTGGCATAACAAACATGAACGATCGCAGTAGTCGGAGTCATACGATTTTCAGAATTGTGAGTTGGTGATTGGTATAGAAAATTATAACATTATTTTGAAACAAAGGGGTAAAATTAGAAAAGGTTTTTAAATCTTTTTTCAAAATTAAAAATTAATTTTTGTGTTTTATTTTTAGACTATCGAGAGTCGGGATTCCACAAACGACTCCGATGGTGCAATTCAAATATCACAATTGAATTTGGTGGATTTGGCGGGTTCAGAGAGAGCGTCACAAACAGGCGCAACAGGCGAACGTTTCAAAGAAGGAACACATATTAATTCATCGCTCTCGTGTCTTGGCTTTGTGATAAAACAACTCAGTGAACATCAGGAGAAGGACAAGCCTAGATATATAAATTTCCGTGACAGTATATTGACAAGGATTTTACAAGCATCACTTGGTGGTAATTCCTTGACGGCAATTATTTGCACAGTTACACCGGCGAGTTTTAGCGAAACCCATTGCACACTCTCGTTTGTATTCAATTAATTTAATTACATTAATTTCATCAACGCGATTAACTATTGAGATTCATAAAATTGGAATGATTTTTTATTTAGATTTGCGTCAAGAGCTAAAAGTGTCACGAACAAACCTAAACTAAATGAAGACCTCAGTGATGAAGCCCTTTTAACAAGATACAAAAAGCGAATTAAGGAACTTTCACAAGAACTTGCGGTAATTTTTTTAAATAATTCATTTTAATAAATAAATTTTTCATTGTTTCTTATTTATTATCATTATTTTTTTTTTTGCAGAAAGCGAATAAAACGATTGCAAATAGTAAAAATGATAATGGACTGGCTGATAGAATGGAATTATTAAAAGAATACATTGTTAGTGGAAATAAAAAGACATACGTAAGAAGACGTTCATGTCCAGTAAAGTTTGAAATAAATGCATTTCCTCTTCAACCAATAATTGAAGAAACGCCGAAGCAAGACAAAATCAAGAAATTCAAACGAAGACAAAGTATCATGCAAAGTGCAAATTTCGCGAAAGAGAGTAAGATAAAAAAATTATATAATTATTAAATTTTATATTTTTTCATTCATGTTAATTATTATTTTTTTTCTACTATTATTTTTCTTTCAGCAGCGACAGCGCTTGCCGATTTTGAAATTAATCTCCTTAACTCTGAAATTGAACCGGAAGAAGAGTTTGCCATGGATGAGTCTCAAGAAAATTTTGTCATTAAACGAAGACAATTAAAATCCCGTGTTCAATTTAATGACGTTGATGATGTTTTAATAATTGACACAGATTTTACTTCACCAGACAATGTTATGGAAAATAAGTAAATCATTTTTAATACTATTTCTTTATTGATTCATTAATAAATAAAATTTCAATTTAATAAGTATGAAAAAAGAAAAAAATTTTTTTTGCAATAAAACAAAAAACATATATTATTGAATAATCAAATAATTCCGTTAGTGATTAAATTTATCTGATTAATTTTAATTGCAATCTTTTTTTTATCAGATGCAATTGTTCGATGGCAACATCGCCTGGGACGCCAAAAAGTGTTTTACGTGAAAGATATAAGGCTCTTGCTGAGGAACACAGTGAACTTGCGGAAAACACGATTTTGGAGAAACAATTGGACGTGAGTTTTAATTTATTTTTTTTAATCATATTTTTATTATTATTTTTCTATTATAGTTAGTTTACTTTATTTATTAAAATTGTATTTTTTACGTGAAATATGTAACTACAATTTAAAGAATTGTTTTTAGAAAGAAAATTATGAAACGATGCGAAATCTTAAAAAATCATTAGATGATACAAGTATTTTATACTCAGACGTAAACAAGAAATATTCTGATCTACAGGTAATGAAATTTTATTTAATTAATTTTAATTTGAAACAAATCGCTTTATTTAAATAAATAATTTTAATTAGTTAAAGTTAATATTACTTTCTGTCGATGAATATTCCTTATTTTTCAATTTTCAAGACTGAACATTCGAATCTTATGGAGGAAGTTGTCTCTCTAAGGAAACAAGTTGAGTCTTTTTCTGCGGTTCAGAAACGACTTGGAATAATAGAAATCGAGAATAAGGAACTGCATAATAAATTGGTGAGAAATGTCAATTTAATCAATATTTCTTTTCGTATTAAAAATGTTTATTTTCTCTTCTGAAACAAATTAAATTCACTTTTTACTAAATCTTATTTATTTATTTCTTTGTTTAAATTGATTGTTTATTTTGATAAATTTTTTTTATCAATTCAAAAAAATAATCCGTTAATTTTTTATTACAGAATATATCCCTAAAGGCCCAAAAATTTGCTGAAGATGAAAATGTGTCAATCGCTTATCAACTCGAATCGTTGTCAACTAAATTTAAGAACCGTGAAAAAGAACTCGAATTATCATTACAGGTAAGATAAATATCATTTTATTTACTCTTTACAATTTTGTAAGGATAATGTTATCGATTAGTTTAAAAAATTTTATTTAATGAATATTTAAAATTTTTCAAATTAATTTACAGACCGCATGGAAATCCAGTGACAAACCGCAAATTGAACAATCGTCAAATGAAATTATTCGACTTGAAAATCTCGTCAAAACACTCAACGATGAAAATGAACAATTAAAGAAGCAAAAACCACAAATCGACGAATCCGATACAATAGTTGTGGAAATGGACAGTCTTAAGGAAAAACTTGAGGAAACAAATCGTCTATTGAAAGAATCCAATTTCGAAAAATCCTCACTCATTGATCGTTTAGATTGTTTATCGCAAAAAATGTTAATGAAAACGAAAATCGACGAATACGAAAATTTATTGAGTAACTTGGAGGAGGACAAAATCCATACTCTGGAACGATTTGACGAGTTAGCCAAAGAACTTGAACAACAAGAATCAGGTCTCGAAATGACAACTTTACAAAAGGCCGTCGACAATTTGAGTTTACATCTCACTGAATATGAACGTGAAAATGTGCACGTGCGACGGAAATTTTCCACTTTGCTCGCTTACATTGAATTTGCTTGTCAACAAAATGTCGACAATAAACTTGCCGACGAGGAAGTCATCGATATTTCAACGAATTTTAAGAATTGGCGAAAAAGCATTTCTTATGATGAGAAGGAGAAAGGTGACATTATTTTGGAATTAAAAAAATTCCGCGAAACTCTCATTAGACGATCAAAGAGTTTGGAATTGAAAACCGAGAACGAAAAAGTTTGCGCAAAAGAAACAACGAAAATCGACAAAGAAACTTCAACGGATAATGACATAAAAATTATCGAAATTAATAAAAAACTCAACAAAGATAATGTAAAATTGAATAGCGAGCTAGCTGAAATAAAAGCAAAATTATTGGAAAGCGATGAGAAATGGAAAGATTATGAGAATCTCGTATTAAAATTGAAAGACAATGAAACAAAAATTTCTGAATTAATCGCAAAACTAGAAAAACTTGAGACTGAGAATTCGAAAATGATGTCAAATTTCCAAGAAAATGTTTATGTTTACGAAAAGGAAATTTTGGAACTGAAATCGAAAATTCTCAATTTTGATGTTGAAAAAGAGGTACGAGAATCAAAATTGCACGAGGTTAACTTGGAAAATTCTCAACTCAAGTCGCAAATTTCCGAAGTGGAGAAAATAATCATAGATTGCAAAACAAAAATTGAGGAAAACCAACGGGAGAAAGGAGAAATAGAACAAGAAATAACAGAAAAACATCAACAACTTAAAGGAAAAGAACAAGAAATCAAAGAAAAAGAAGAAAAAATAATAGAAATCTTGAAAAAATCCAAAGAACTCGAGCAGTTGAATTCGGAATTGAAATTAAAATTTTCTGAGGCAAGCGAAACTATTAAAAATTATGTGGAAATCGTTGAATCTTTGAAAGTGCAAACAAATCTCGAAACAAAATCTTTCGAGTCAAAAATCATTCAACTTGAGGCGATAAATGCCAAATTTAAAACCCACACAGAATCTAATAATCATGAAATGAAATCTCTCGAATCCAAAGTCAAAGAACTCGAAGAAGAAAATGCCGAACTGAAAATCCATTTGGAATCGAATAATCCCAAAGAAATTGAAACGAGTTTCTGCGCAATTGATACACGACTGGAGGAAAAAGATGCCGAAATCTCCCAATTAACTCTACGTATAAAAGAACTTGGTGACGAGAATTTTGAGTTTAAATCACGAATAGATGACGTCGAGGAGAAATTGAAAAATTATCAAATCTCTATAAATTCACTAAACACCGATAACGAATCTCTAGCCACAAAATTACAAGAAAAAGAAATGGATCTTTCACATTTGAAAATTCGATACAAAGAATTGGAGAATGCGAACAATAGTTTAGCGAAATCCCAACAACAATCAATGAACAACACCAACGACGAAACGTACACCGAGGCTGGTGAGGAATTAGTCAAAAGTTGTTTGGCGGCAAATGACGCATTTAAAAAACGTCTCGAGGATTTCGAAAAAAATGTCTCGATATTCCGCGACAACGTCGACGAGCAAAAAACATTTGTCGAGGGCATTGAAAAAAGCAATTTAGAACAAAACACAAATTTACACATCACAAATACAATGTCATCAACACCAACGAAAATTGATAAATCAATTATTTGTGAGACGCCGAAAAGTGAAAATGATTTTACTAGTATATTCACAAACGTGAGTTACTTCGAGAAAATGGAAGTCGATGATTCTGTGAACGAGACACAAGTAAGTGAATTTCACGAAAATTCCTGTCAACCGGAAAATGAGACGCAAGATATCACCGTGCCAACAATTATGATCAATATTCTAAAATCGAATGATGTGCAGACTCTTAAGCAACGCATCAAAGACTTGGAATTACAAAATGAGCACCTAGATGTTCTTTATAAAGATTTAATGAAGCAAATTAATGAGAAAGAAGGTCAAGAATTATGGGACAAGATCGAACAGTTCAAAAATGTGAAAATTTCCCTCGAAATCGAGAACGCAAGACTTCGCGATGATATTCAATTGAAAATTCATGAAACCGAGGAAATCAAGAACGGAATTCAAGGATTGAAAATGGATGTCGAAAAACTTCAGCAAACCATTTATTTGCTCAATACGGAAAATTTAGAACTCACCTTCAAACTCAATGCCGAGAAAGAGAAAAATCAATCAGAATTGATTAATTGCGAGAAGATGGAAATTTTGCAACAGGAAAATAATAAATTAACTCAAGAATTGACGAGCAAGGTGAAAGAATTAAATTCAATAAAGGAATGCAAAGCACTTGAGTACGAACATCAATGTGTTTACAAAGACAAGAACAAACTTCTCCAAGAGGAGAATAATTCCCTTCAAAATGAAATTACCGATTTGTCAGATGATCTCATGAAACATATTGACGAATCCGAGACGATTAAACAACAACTTGAGGTAGCTTTGAAAAAAGTGGAAGTATACCAAAAAACACCTTCAGACTCGCCGAAAAATATGGAAGATATTCTTGAGGATAAAAAACATCTACAGGCGGAAGTAATCGAATTAAAATCCCAAGTGACAAAACTCTCCAATGAAAATGCACAAGTGACCTCTGATCAACTCGAAAAAAGTTTCGAGACTCAGAAAACTCTGAAATCACAAAATCGTCATCGTATCAGTAACAGCTGTAAAATTGATGAAAATGTTGAAAATTTAAATGACAAAATCAAACAACAAGAGGAACAAATCGAGCATTTGACAATAATGAACGAGAAATTGAGCGATTTGAAATTGAGCGCTTGCACACAATGCTCACATCTTAAGGAATTAAATGAGAACAAAAGAGCCCTGAAACTTGAAGTCAAATGTTTGACTAATAAACTCGAGGATATACAATTGCGTTTTCAGGAAAAATGTCTCAACGCAGAGCCATTGCGATTAAAAGCCAACGAGGAATTAAATATGAGTTTCACTCTAAATGGAAGTGTCACAGAGACGATGAGCGTCACTCTTATGGAGGAGAATATTCGTCATCTCAGCAATGAAAAAGAAACACTCAAAGAGGAATACGAGAAACTTACGATTCTTTATCAAGACAAGTGTTCTGATCTCGTGACACTTCAAGAGCATCAAATCATTACAAATTCCCCATCAACAAGCCCATCAGGTGGAAAAATGCAAAGACTCTCAAAAGTTGAGTCATCTATTAAGGCAATTGGCGATGATCTTCAACAGCAAAAGGAAAAATTGGCGACGCTCAATAGCGAATTACAAAAGTACAAAGAACTCGAGGATAAATTGAAGAATTCGCAAGAAATTTTAGCTTCCACTCAAGAAACATTGACAATTACCCAAGATAATCTAGCGACTGTCAAGGAAACGTCAAACATCGCCGAGGAGAAGATAAAACTTCTAGAGAATGACATTGCAATTTTATACGAAAACATTAAGGAGCACAAGGAAACGGCCAAGGATCTTCAATCCCAAAAATTAAACCTAGAGGTTGAATTGCAAATCTCCCGAGGCGAAATTGTGACTCAAAAAGGCATGAACGAAGAAAAGAATTGTCTAATTTCACAACTTCAGTTAGAAAGAGAACAGCTGCTCACTCGGCAAAAGGACGAAGATACAAATCGCGAATTACTGGAATCGACTATCAAGGAAACTCGCCAACAGCTTGAAATAGCCAAGCAAAGAATTAAAGAAATCGACGCCAATCTCGCTCAGGCTCTTAAAGAGAATCAAGATTTCAAGAACGAAATCACAAGACTACAGAATGAATGCGTTTTCATTAAGAATAATGAAACCAAAGAAACCAAAATTGAAAGAGAATTAGAATCCGCAAGAAAGTTAATTATCAAAGAGACAATGTCCCTCACGTCGAAAATCGACGACGATCCATCAAAATCAGTTAGCGATATTTTCAAAAATTTCGTAAAAACAATCCTCTCCAAGGAGCACGAGGTAATACAAGCCGTAAAGGAAAATTTCGATCAAGAAAAAGGAAAGCTTATTGAGGAAAAACAACAGAGTGATGATGCGAAAAAACGCGCCAACACCTGGGCAAAGTCACTGGAAACCGATATCGAGAAAATCCATCGCGATTTATCGGATCTTGAATCCAAAAATCATCAACTAGAAAAACAAATCGATCGTCTTGAAAATAGTCTCAAAGATACCGAACACGAGAATCAAAATCTACGCGAAAAATTCCAAACTCTCCAGATTGATCACAATCAACTGCAAACCGACTTTGAAAAAATTGATCTCCATTATCAGGAAATTGAAAATCAGGACAAACTTGAAGCATCAATAAAGCACCACGAACTCGAATTCCAAACGCGAATGAAGCAACAAAAGGAGGAATATAATCAAAAACTGGAAGAATTGGAACAAACTGTGAAAAATCTCCAAACTGTGAATATGGATCTCAAGAATAATGTCGAAGGCCTCGAGATTAATGAAAAACAGCTCAAGAACATCATTGACATTAAAACAAATGACCTGTCAAAGAATAATCAACTTCTGAAAGAATTACACTCAGAGGTAAATAAAATCACCCAAAGTAATGATCAACTAATTTTCGAGAATCAGGAAAAAAGAGACCGAATAGAAGAGATTACTTCACTATTAAAAGATAAATGCGACAGTCTCTCTGAATATAAAACAAAACTCGAGACACTAATGCCGGAATATAATAACTTTAAATACCAAATAGAGGAGCGAAAGCAGATTATTCAAAAATGTCGTCAAGAAATAGAAACAATGAAAATTGAACACACACAAGAGATAAATACTCTAAATGACAAGATTCAAGAAGAGGAGATCAATTCCCAGGGATTAATGAAACAGCTCAAGAAGGTGAATACCAGGAATGCGGAAATTTTCCAAGAATTAGAAACAGTAAAAAACAAACTTCAAGAAATGGAAGCAGATTATGATAAACTCATGCGAAAGGTGCGAAATTCTACAAGCAAACATCGCGCCGAACAGGAAATTGAGGACGTCATGGACAAGAATCGTACACTCGAGAAGAATCTCGAAGGTGCATCGAATCGTATCACCGAACTTATGGAAGCAAAAGCAAAAGTGATTAAGGATCTCGTTGATGTGCAATGTCAATTGAAAATGATAAAACGCGAGAACGATGAATTACAGTCTTTGAAATCGCGTCAAAATTCTTTAATCGAATTACGCGGCAAATACGAGGAACTTCTTCAAGAGAAAAATACCATCAAACTCGAACTTGAGGAGAAAAAATTGTCCCTCGCTCAGAAGGAGAAATACATCCAAGAAATTGAGCAACAATTAAATGTGTTACGGGAAAATAATGAAGAGCTCGATAAAGAGGCAGACGAGTTAGCCAAGAAAATCGAAGAGAACGAATGCGATATAGGAAAATTGGAAGATGAAAATTATTTTCTTAAGGAGACTAGCAAAAAGGAAATCGATGAATTAAAAAGCAAATTGAAAACATCATTGCAAACCAACACTGACTTAAGGGCGGAAATTAATTTACAACGCGACAATATTCAACGGGAAAATGAAGAAATGAGATGTAAAATTACTGAATTGGAAAATAAACTTGAATCGATGAGCGCCGCAAGTTCGAGATGTACAAGTCCGTCACTTGAATTTGACAATCAAAGAAGAAGGAGAAGAAGTGAACTTTACAATAAGCATAGAAATCTCGAGGAATTCAGTGACTCGGGTGTGAGTTCGAATTGTCAATGTTCTGAATTGAGAAAAAGTATCTCCGAAATGGGTAGAGAGATCGCGATGAAAAATGGAGTGATTGCCACACTCAATATTCAAATTCAAAGTGAAAATTTCCCATATGAAAAGAAGTGCAAAGATTTACAGGATGAATTGGATCTTGTGAAAAATAAGGTGAATATAATTTTTTTTTAAATAACTTCCATGTTCACATAAAACAAAATACATATATAATTAATTATTAATTCATTATAATTAACAAACAAACAAAATTTACAAAAATACAAATCATTTTTAAAAATTTATCTTTTTTTTTAATTTTATGAGTTCAAATCTTGAGAATTATTCTAAACCGAAAATTCATTTAAATATTTAATAGTTTTCTCTTTAGGTGAAAATTATTATTCATCGAAACATTAAAACGAATTAAAATTTTCAGTGTCGTAAGTTGCAACAGGATGTTATTAACCACAAGAAGACAATTGCTGACAAGAGTTTTAAAGAGTGTGAAGTTTGTAAGAATTGGCGTCTAAATCAAAGACATCAAGGGGTCCAGTGTGAAATAAAAGAGAAAATATATCTCAGTGGTAGGAGCAGTGGATTCGTGGAAGTAAGTTTCTTTTTCATCAATAAAATAAAAATTTATTATTATTATTTGAAATATTTAGTAACTATCATAAAATGGTGAACAAACTTTTGGTAATTGACTACAAAAATGTTAGATCTATGTATACACTATAAAAAAATTAATATAACTACTTATTTTTTCTTTTTTTTAATTTATTTTCAGGAATATCAAAAGCAAGAGAGACTAGAGATGGAGAATAAATCATTGGGAGAAAAAATAAAGAAAATTGAGAAAGAAAAGGATATGATGAAAAAATTGTGTCGTAGTCGTCACGCTCAAATAAAAGAACTTCAAGCATTACTAGAAAACCGTAAAACGACTACGTAGGATCTGATATGTAAATACTTGTTTTTTGTCTTTGCACATTTTTTAAAATACTTACTTCTGAAACTTTTTTTTACGTATTCGTTCATTTTTCATTGTTCAGTTATGTGCAAGTTAAATTTACAATTTCTTAATTTATTGATATAATTAAAGTTAAAAAGCACATTTTGTATATATACATATAATATTATAATTGTGGAAAAAAAATTTTAAAAAACATCGTAAAACGATGTTTAATAAAGATATTTTCATAATTTTTCAAATTACACATTTTTCTTTAATCCTTTGCCCTCTATCTGCCTTCACTTAAAAATGTTGACAAACACTTGATTTTTTTTAGTGATCAATTAAAAATTGATAATTAGCCTTATTTCAATTTTACCAATTGACTTCATTCTAATTGTAGCAATTAACTAATTAATTAGTTTTTGCCTTTTTGAATTTATATCTAGGCGTGACTGATTGAGCTTTTCTTTTCTTAGAATTCCCATCAAAGAGATCTGAAATATAAAATATAAAAATTTTAAAAAAAGAAACTTACTTTTATGTCGATTATAAATTGAATAAGATGACAAACCTTTGTCAGGTTCCTCGCCGACTTCATCGCGATAATATTGAGCGTCATCATCTTCCTCATTTTTATGTAATTCAGCCGATTCCTTGGCAATTTTCTTTATTAAAATATCTCTCTCGCTTTGTTTCTTTTTTATTCCTTTAAGAGACTTTTCTTTCGCTTCTTCCTTCTTAACTTCCTTTCGTCTTATGTTCTCCTCTTGTGTTTTCTTCCGATTTACCTTTAATTTCTTTTTCTTCTCGCGCCTCTTCGCAATAAGCAGTTTTTCCTCTTCCGTTTTGACGATCAAATCGTGATAGAGAACTTCACCTTCCAAGAGACCGTTTTCCACTTTTATTAACTAAAACACAAAGAAAATGTATTAAATGTTATACTATTATTCATTAATTATTTTATTTTTTTCATAAAATTCTAAGCATTTTTTCAATATTTCTAGTGTGAAAAAATGATACAGTACACACACATACACACACCTGCAATGTGAGTCTTGGGCCAAGTTCAAAAAGTCTAATTGCGCTTTTACCACTCTCATGATTACCACGGGACGAGAGTTTTTGAGGCAATGTCACGTGAGCCGCAGGATCGTCCTCAGCCTCACTTTCGGAGAGTGCTGCCTTTGAGATGAATTCCGAAAAATCTTGACATTTTGCGAGATTCGGTATTTTTGCTTGCACCAATTTTTTCACACTTCTTGAGAGACCAACTGGTGCTACTTTAATAGCATAATGTCGAAAATCAATCATATTCGTTGTTGAATTGTAATTCAGACAAACGCAACGGCGAATTGTACTTAAATTCACCTATAAAAATAAAAATGTTAATTATTTAAAAAATTCCATTATATTAAATAAAATAATTGATTATAATATTTACGGTTGTTAAATTAATGGATGGAAACATATTTTGGAACATGGAGGCCATTAATTTCAATTGCATACCTTCGCCGCTAAAATTGTTTAAAACAATCAGCGGAGAAGTTTTAAAGGCTTCTTCAAACACTAATTGCTTTTTGGCCATTGACACTACATCTCGAGAAAGAGAGAAATTGTGTAATTTAAACGTTAAAGTTGGACCTCTTGGAACTCTGTAACAAAAGGTTATATACAAAATAAATAATAATTGAGGGACTGGATTCATAAGAAATAAAAATTATTTTACCTGCACAATTTGAAGTACATTCCATTTTCGGTCCTCGTGAAAATAGCCATGTGCGAAACGTGAAGAACACCGGCGACTGACACGAAATCTTTAATAGTGTTTCGTTTACGTTCTTTCAATTCACTGGCGGTAAATGGCTCCATAACTCGACGAAAATCTCGAGTTAACTCAACTATATGTTCACCAGGTAAACCACGATGAATAACAAATGAGTGAGGAGCTCGAACAAGTTCTTCTTTTTCTTGCACGTCCAATTGTTTATTTCGCTTTACACAACGCCCCTAAGTAAATTAAATGACAAATTATTATCTCCATGAGGTCAAAATTTACATCTAATTATTAATGAAGTATAAAAAAAAAAATTTAATTAATTTTAATTATAAATATAGATAATTATATATATTTACTATAACTATAGAAGTTTGTTACCTTTCTACGACCCATTTTTCTTTGCTTTTTTTCTCTACGTTCTTTTTAATAATTTACTCAAATTTACTAAATGTATTACAAATATGTCAATTTTTTTAGGTTATGACAAACAAAACCCACGTGCAGCTGCAGCATTGAAGATTGAAGTAGTATAAGTTGAAACTCCCAATTCTGAAACGGCATGGAAAGAGAGAGTATGTGCAGATCTTTCAGAGAAGGTGTTACCGTACCCTGGTCATACCATTTTTTATGCAGACTGTGGAGTTACCTTAATAACACGTTCTGCTTGCCATGAATATTTTGACGTTGATTTTTGATTTTCAATACGCACGTTTCAAAAAGTCTAAAGATGTTAATTAATTAATTATATTTAACTTGTATTAATGTTATAAACAGTTTGTTGTAAATATAAAGAGAAAAAAATGCCGCAAGGAAGGAGACGAGCTCCTTTTAGTGGGAAAGCCAAAAAACAACAAATGCAAGAAAAAAAACAACGCAAAAATCAAATCTTACTCGGTATGTAATGAATAATATTCCCAATATTTACCTGGAAAAACACCGGTATATATATATTTGATATCATAATACTTATATCAGTTTATAAAGTATTAATTATTTATTAATTATTTATTAATTATTACAATGTTAAAAAAACATTACAAAATAAAACTTTAATTGTAAAAGTTCTTAAAAATCATTTTTATCTTATCAAATTTTAAACAATGGTGATAACACATCAGTATAATGTTCATTATTGTATTAAATTTAAGTTTTGATGTTTTATTTATTTATATACTAAATTTTATTTTTAGTGTAATAATATTAGTGATTTTTTGTTACAAATTAAGTCACAATTTTTTTAACATTAAAATCTATTTAATTGAAATTGGAGCGTTATATAAAGTAAATTTTAAATCGAGTATAGTAAAAACTGCAATAGAAAACAAATATTTTTTAAAGGACAAGGTCATAGCAGTAAGGATCATGATAACTGGGATGAGGAGGAAGAGCAAGCAGGCAAATTAATTAAAAAAATAAACAAACAACCGCGTGATGTTGGTCGAAATAAATATGCTCTGCACTTTTTTCAAGAGTCACAAGAAGAATTGCGAAAACGTAAGGAAGAAGCTTATCAAACAATTGAAATACTTCCTCTCAATAAACAGGAAATTTCCGATTCATATTTTCCACCGGAAATTGATTTACCTAAACGACCTCCTTGGGATTTTAACATGTCGAAGGAGCAACTGGAGATACGAGAGCAAAAATATTTTAAAGTAAGTTATTTTTTACTTAGGTAAATAATCTTTAAAATTAAGTCGAAATGATTTTTAAATTTATTATTTAATTTCTAGGAATATTTGGACAATTTAAACATCGAAAACCTTAGTTTCTTCGAATTAAATTTAGAGACATGGCGTCAATTATGGCGTGTTTTAGAAATGTCTGATATACTATTAATTATTGTTGATATTCGTTATCCAGTGTTGATGTTTCCTCCATATATTTATCGATACATTACCAGGGATCTTGGAAAAGATATGATATTAATTCTCAATAAAATTGATTTAGCACCACCATCACTTGTCGTTGCTTGGCGAGACTATTTTAAGAAGCACTATCCGCAACTTCATATTTTAATGTTCACCTCTTACCCACATTACAATTTACGGAGTAGCATTAGTAATAAAGAGGGTGGTCTACAAAAAAGACGAAGAAAGGGAAAACTAAAAATGGCCGCAGAAGGTGCCAAACAATTGTTAGATGCCTGTAAAGAAATTGTTGGCGACAAAGTTGATTTAACATCATGGCAGGAAAAAATCCACGAGGAAATGAATTCGGAATATGATTTAGACGATTTGGGAAGAAAGGACAATGTCACGGTTCAGGAAAAAGATACGAGTTATTTTGAGCATGTGAAATTCAAAAATGGTGTCCTAACTATTGGTTGCATTGGCACTCCGAATGTTGGAAAGTCTTCCTTGATGAATGCCCTAATGGGTAAGTTTATATGCAACTAAATTGAAATTTTTAAAATTCTTATTTAAAATAATAGTAATAATAATTTTTTTTTCCAGGTAAAAAAGTGGTGAGTGTTTCTCGAACACCGGGTCACACGAAACATTTCCAAACGATTTTCCTGACAAAGACAGTTTGTCTTTGTGATTGTCCGGGATTAGTTTTCCCATCAAGAGTGCCGAAACAATTGCAAATATTAATGGGATCATTTCCTATTGCTCAAGTGAGAGAGCCGTACACTACAGTAAAATTTTTAGCGGAAAGAATAAATTTGCCGGAATTACTCAAGTTGCAGCATCAGGACAATGATGACACTTGGTCGGCAATGGATATTTGTGACAGTTGGGCCGCGAAAAGAAATTACAAAACAGCCAAAGCGGCGAGACTCGATTCTTACAGAGCCGCGAATTCATTGTTGCGAATGGCTTTAGAGGGAACAATATGTTTATTTGTTTACCCTCTTGGATGGTCAACTGAGAAAGGTATTTATTTCCTAAAAGTAGAATTAATTGAAAACTTTGAATACAAAAATCCATTAGTTCCATTAAAAAAAAAAAAAAAAACACTATTTTTTCAATACAGAATTGTGGGAAACTCATCCGGATTTGGAGATAGTGAAATGGATTCAAGCGAGAAGTGCGGTTGAAGAAGAAAGAAGTGAGGAACAAAGCAAATTTCCCGCTTTGGATGATGAAGATAGTGAAAGTTTCGAGTCCCATTCGACTGATTCTGAGGATGCCATCGAATCTGAGACGTCGGAAGCGACAAATAAATTTGAAATTTTGTCCACTACAAAATAAGAGGTAAATTTATTTTAAAGAAAGCGGAGTTATATTAAATTAAGTGCTAATTTTATTTCATAACGAGATAATTTCTTCACAGCTTTGTATTTCTCAAGGTAGATTAATTTTTCTAAATAAAATATTTTGCGATATATTACGCGATCTTATTTACAGTACATAGATTTCTTTGATTGTAATTACAATTATTATATAGTAAAATATTCTGTTCGTTTAATCATAATACGAAGCTTCGAAATACAATTCTTAAGAAAAGGAACTACTGTTATTTTTTGTGATTAAAATTTTTCCTAAATTACTGTAAAGAAAAAATGTTATTTAAAAATTACGTACAGAATTTATATAATGAAATATTTGAGTTTTTTGCATACAGTGATTTATGAAAAATTTAATTTACAATTTCTAAGTAGTACCTAAAATTTTAAATTGTTTTTTTTTCTAGAGCTCGAATTTTATGGCCTTCAAGTGTGACTATTATGAAGTGTATAAAAAAGAATTTTCGTGCATCACATTGGAAATTATGTTCTCATAAAATTTTTTATATAACTATAACTTCATTTTTCTATAAATTATCGCGTATATTTAAAATTTCAAATATATTTTAAAATTTGATAGTCATGCAATAAGTAAATATAAAGACATAGATTTCATTTCAAAATGTTCTAGTGGTTTTAGCTGAGCAATAAATTATGTAATTTTGTGATATTTTAACAGGTTTTTTGATATACAATTCGCAGATGCATTTTTTTTCCAAAAATTCAGGCACCTAAGAGCTTTTTCACACTGTAGCCGGGAATCGAGTAGAAGAAGAGAATAATTAAAATTATCAATGCCATGATGAAAGTTGCTTTCAATATAGCCCACTTATAGTTATGCCAAACGATATATTTGATAGATTTCAGTGGATTCACGAACCACATGAAAGAAGCGTCTGGTCGACTAGAGATAATAATAAAAGACAATTAAATTAATCAATTAAAAATTAATTAATTGTACTTACTTTGGTTTATCGAGTGGATCTGGTTCACTTCTACCAAAACCCGCTAGATTTCTTTCAGCCTCTTCTTTTGTTAATAAATGTATTTCAGCTTCAACTTTTCCCTATTAAAAGAAAAAATTAAAATTAGAATAATCAAATGTAAAAAAAGCGTAAAATTTTTTTTAACTAGAAAATTTGAGTAAAGCTGTCAATATACCGTCAATTCCATTTCATCGTTTTCCTTTTTCACGTAAAAGGGCCACCAGCCTTTAATTCTTTTTTGCTTAAATATGTTTACAGTCGGAACTGAACCATCATTTTTCAACATGCTTAATGTGCATAATTTACTGTTTTTTGCGCCTCGCGGAAATCGATTTAAATCGAGCGTCAACGCACCGAGAAAATCGTCTGATGAAAAATGATCAGAATCCCAGACCTGTAATATAAAATATAATCTATAATTTGATGTCAGATTAAAAGAAATGTCTAAAAATACAACCATAAAATAATAATCGTATCTCTGGATTTTTATCAATAAATTCGAAAATTATTACCTGTAATTCCAAACGAGCCGGAATCTTGCACTCGGTCTCATCCCAACTAAATAAACTTTCTTTCCGGTTAATAACGATCTTCTCTTCCGCCACGAGATAGTCAAAAGGGAAAATAAAACGCCAATTAAAATTTCCTTCGCCAGTTAATGAACGATAGTGAATATCGGTGGACTGACAATCTTCTTGTCCCTTTAACCATCTTTGAAACAGAAAATATAAGAAACAAAAATTAGAAATTGGAAGAAAATTCCAACTTTTCAAAATAAGAATTTAATAACTATGGAAGTATTAAAAAAAATGGAATTAATGATTAATTAATTTTAATTGTTACTAAGTTAAATTTACCCTTTTACGTATATGTCGCTCATTTTCTCCCCAGTAAAAAAAGCATCATCTTCGAGAACCACATCATCCGTATTCCAAATGATAATTCTGAGCTCATAACTTTTTGGTTTTCTTGGTGATATGTCGAGAGGCGGACCCGGTAAAGGCATGTCCATGGGAAACATGTCAACCCACATTTCCAATTTACCCTGTTCAATTCCTGGTTTATCAGGATTGTATAAAGAACGACACTCGATATGTTCAGGAACTAAACTGCATCCGATTCGAGGAAAAGCGTTCCACTGATGAAGAACTGCCAAAGCCAAATGTTCTTCCATTGCTAAATTTTTAGAAATATTTATTATTATCTTATAAAAAAATTTTTTACTGAAAAGGTTAAATAAATATATTTTTTATTTTATAATAAATAAGGTTATTAATTATTATCATCTTAATTATTTATTCACCTTTGGAATGAATATAAAATTCCATTTCCTCCTTTGGTATGGAAAATGTTTTTCTTCCAATTGACACTCCTCCAGGAGAATAAATTGGACCATCTATTTTCGCATCCTTACAAAGTTTTGACAATATTTGCGTTGGTTTCATAGCGTCTCGCCACTTATTGTAACCAGATCTGAAATTAAATTTGAATTACTTAAAATCGATTCCAACTAAAAAAATTAATATTAAACTATATTTTATGTTATTTTTCATCTTACTCATCGTATCTGCGTGGAATACCACAAACAGCTCGATGCCTACTGTAAAATCGATTCTCTAAGTCAATTTTTGTCTCGCCAATCATATCATCAGAACCAACCAAATCCCAATCCAAAATCTGTACAGTCAGCAATGAATCCTGAGGAAAAGTCGCTTCAATTTCAAAGCACCTGAAACATAATTATATTTCGTGGTAAAAGATTTACCTGTACTTAATTGAAATTTATTTTCATGTAAAATATAAATTTTAAGAAATATTTTTAAATAATTAAATACTATTGATTGACTGAATTTTCAATTTGAAAAACTAACTTTCCAAAAACCGGATTCAGTTGCTTGGACACGTAATTTTCCTTATCGCTTATTCTTTTCCCACCAAGTTGAAGGACAATGTATGGGTCGGCTTTTCCATTCAAATCGGAAGGATGCAAATCATTTGCCTTAACAATATAAACTCTAACGAGCACGTGAATTGGCTCGTTAGACGGTAAACCTTGAAAAAATCCGTATTGAGGATCAAAACCCATAATTGTGTGATCGAGTAAATCTTTTGGTAATGGCCATTTATAGACCTTCAATGCACCCTTAAAATTGCCAACAATTCGCGACTCATCTTCTGGCTCGTCATTGGTTTTTTTGCCACGATAAAGCTCAAATGAATGTAGCCACTCTTTAAAATATTCAAATTCCAATTGCGCCTCTAATTCTTTGGGATAAATTTTTAAGAGGGCAGTTTTGTTAAAAATTTTCTTTCGTGGTATATGTTTGGGACTTAATTTTGATACAAAACGCGCAGCATTTGCCGATGGTTTTAGACTGAATAATTTTTTTGTTGATTGAATTCCAGGACTTTTATCGTGACACGCTGCAATCATTTGGCTTGTAAACTCTTCTTCGAAAAAATTTGGTACGTTCTCATTATTTCGAGAGTTTGGGAAAATGCATTTTTCACGACGAATCTCTTTGTTTTCTTCTATTACAGCCTCAAGTGAGGCAAAATATTTTGTCCACCAATCTTGACAGCCCTCATCGTCTTCAAGTGATTCCAAATCTCCTGTTAAAAAATTAATTTAAATATTTTTTTTGCAATTTAAATAAAAAATTACATTTTAATAAAGAAAGACACACGAATGTCGGAAACACAATTATTTTAATTGATTAGTTTATTTAATTTATTTAATAAAAAAAGGATTTATTAATTTTCTCACAAACCTGTGCTTCCATCAGTAACTAAACTCTGCTTACGTCTCAAATTTTGTTCAGTTTTATCTTTTTTCGTGGACCATTTAATTAATTCGCAACCCAAAATTATAGTTGTGTCTCCATTATTGGGCTCCAATTCAGTAGTTAATGATTCTGAAAAAGTAAAGAAATTATAAAAAATAATTGAAATTAATTAAGAAAAAATGTAAATAAAAATTTCATTTAAGAATGAGATATCTGAATTGTGTGAAAGCAGATAAATAGAGCTTATTTTTGTTTTGCTAAAATTTCCAATTAAATATAAATGAGTTAATTTTTAATACCTGTAGTACTTTGTAATTGAATCAAACTCTTTTTTCTTTCCTCTAAATCTCGTGCCCTTTTCGTATGTGGTGTATACATATATTTATGAATAGAATTAATCGTGTGAGTGCCAACAAGTGTATAACGTCCAAAGCTTCGACAATCCACAGCTCTGATTGTCAGTGGTGGTCGATAAAGTTCCTGTTCTGGTAAATCCAATTCAAGAAATTTAATTGGAGTATTAAAGTTCGGATTCTTTTTTGCGTTTGATATAATAGATGAATATAATATGTGACCAGCACATTCAACATCCACTCTCGGCTTATCTACCGTCAACAAATGAATTCTTTTCAAATCCCGTAAGCCCCAAAATAGTACTTCAATTCTGTTAACAAATATTTCCAACTTTATTATTATTACCTATTAATAATTATACACAATGGTATGAATAAAACTTACCTATATTTTGATAAGGTTGGACGAATACCAAGAGGAACTGGTAACATGGGTCCAGCATCTTGATCCGTAAAAGCTTTGGCATCCGGAAGTGTTGGAAAGCTGAATTCTTTGGATGCAGGATATTCGAGGAGTTCAAAAACTGCCAATAATTCACCAGCCCGTCCAGCGCCTCGGGTTATCTCGAACCATTCGAGAGACGGTGGGAATTGTGGTGGTGTATACGATTCAAAGGCAAGTTTAACGTGTGGCCGTGCCAAAGCACGACCAATATACTCTGATTTTCCCTAGAAACCAATGTAGAATTATATTTTCACGGAAGAAAAAAGCTTTAAGAAAAGTATTTTTTTCAAATACAGGATTTCATGAATATTCGTAAAAGCACAAAGAATATAAAAGCAAATATATATCACACAATAAAGTTTACAAATAGCAATAATAATAAATGAAAAAAATAAATTAAAAACTTTAACAAATTCCATTTACAATAATTTTTCTCTGTGCTTTTTTTATATTTTCGAAAATTGACAGAATTTGATCAATTCTACTATGGAGTCATTCGGCACTTCTAAATTATTTACATTTCTAAGGAAACAGTTCAATTCTGATAAATAGAATTTTTTTGTGTAGTTTATAATGTGTCGATACAAAATATTACAAATTAAAATAATTATTTTAAAATAAAGCAGTCAATTATTGTTCGGCTAATAAAAGCAATTGATTTTCGTAAAATTCAAATTCAAATAATTGGAATTCAATCAATTTAATTGAAATAAACATTTTTTAATTTGACACTAAACCATAATCAAATTGCCAAAAGATAATCAACCGGTTTTATTTGTGAATGCAAATATATAATAATAAAATAGAGATTTTTACTTGTCAGAGCTAATAAAACACAAAAGAAAGCACCAAACGTGTCAAAAAACCTAAAAGAAAAAGAAAAATATGTACAGTTGTTTAATTTGAAGCAAAATATAAAAAAAAGAGTTTCATTCAAATATTTTGATATTGTCTGCAAATGATGTATACAAACTGTTAAAGCAGACCCCTCATGCACTGTTTGTCCATAGACACAAAATGACTCTGAAAAAAATTAAAAAATCGTACAAAAATATAGTGTTATGTTTGTGTTAAGATGTGTTATCTTGAATAAACATCTCAAATAAAATATATCATCATCATCATCATCATCATCATCATCATCTTTTAATATAGATAATTGCAATAAATTATAATAATATATTGAGTTGAAAAAAATAGTAGTTATATAATTTTTCCTCTATACATATAATAATTATCCAGAATTCGTAAGATATGAATAATGTGAAAATGCATATATTGAAAAATTCTTACCACTTTGTCTTGATCAAACAACTCGATGACGATGGAGGGTGGATCCTTCTTGATTTCCTCTTCAGTCCCGAAAATTAAAATATCATCAAAGACTAAAAGTTCATCCCAAGTTGGACTGAGAGTCTCGTCAATAACTTGTGTTGATTTGCAAAATTCTCCACAAATAACACGCGCAAACGGATCCGACAGACCAGAAGCATCACTGCCAATAAGCGATCTCGCTTGATACATGTGAGCTCTCAGTTGAAATTTCTATAATAAGGAATTTAATAAGGTAAATTACTTACTAAAAATAACAGATTAAATAATTCATTTTTAATTCATTATATTTGAATACAAATGTGATTTATAATTAAACAATGCAAAATTTATTACGTGTTTTTCTGCGTAATGAATCACCGAAGGAGGAAGAGCTCGAGGTTTCTCAATATTCTTTAATTCGTGGCTAATTTCATAACCATGGGGCAAACCTTGAATAAAATACTTTTTATGTTTCATAATTCCAAGCCACATATAAATCTGTAATTTAGTCTGTATCGTCCACCCTGACGGACCATATTTCTTTTTCCCTGGAAGCTGACAAAATTTTCACATTTCTTATATTAATAATTTATTAATTGATATTTGAAAAAATAATATATATTATTTTATTTTAAAAGTATTAAAACATTATAATTAAATATTCAATTTATTACCTTTAAAAATATTGTTTGAACTTTGGCACAATATTTTCCGCACTCTTCATCTACAATTGAGTAAATTAAATCCCTTCCAGGAATTCTGTGATACGCAACTCGTCTTCTTGAACTTATAACCCAGACAAAAACATCGGGAAGTGAATCTTGAGGCTGCAAATGATAAATTATCCATTATTTGACAAATAAGACTTAAATTCATAATCAGAAACTTTTAAATTATTTTTTTCTTAAAAAAAAAATTCAAGTATTTCTGAAAAAATTATACTTACGTCCTCAATGAGAAATTTGAGTTTCTGCAAATAAGTCTGAGCTGTTTTGAATCTCTCTTTAAAACTACTTTTGGTGACGATGGCTTTCAAATTCCTGGACATAACTGACATATTTTCAATTTCCATTTGACATAATTTTGCCCTCTCTTTGTCGAGTTTTGTCTTGCCCACACCAGGACCGGTTGTACTCGACTTACTGATACTAAGATATCGATTACAATTACTACTTAATTCTTCTAAAACTGTCTTCAAAAGTCGCTCGCAAGTTGTCGGGTCCTCAATATGTGCCTGCACTTCAGAAAGACCTTCTTCCTATATATGACAAATTAATTGCGTCATATTAATTAATTAACATTTTTTATAATTTTTATATTTGAAATTGAAAAAAGTAAACTTACTAGTTTATCTACAATTTTATTGATAATATTGCTATTGTACATTCTCCTTCTATAATCCGGCCAAATACTTCGAACATGAAGGCACGGTTTATTGTCCCAATATGGAAGAAAGTAATAAATCTTATCGTGGGTCATTGGTTTATTGGATGGAGTGGTACTTTGACAAGAACGAGTAACAACTTGTTGCACTTCCTCTTCATCCCCACTACCACCCATTGACGAGCTCATATCACAAACCTATCATCAATTTTAACTCATAAAAAAATCAATGAAAAAAAATTAAACAAAAAATAAAAAAAAATTGAATAATAAAATGATGTTAATAAAAAAGATAAGAAAAGGAAAAATTTACCTCAGGAAAAAGAATTAAAATAACAGAGGAAAATAGAAAAGAGAAAGAAGCAAGAAAAAAAGGTAATCTGTCATTTTGAATTAAAAAAAATGATGACTGATTTAAATTTAAAACATTTTTTAAAAACCTTGGAACTCTCGTTATGTCCATCCAGAGCATTTCCAGCATTTCCAATTGATATTTCAAAATACATGGGTTTATCGCCCAATTTTTTGTCAATCATCGTAGCGTCCATAATACTGGCAAATAGAAAAAATTCCTCATTTCTTGCGTAAGCAGATTCATTAATTGGAACAGCTGGTTGAACCTCGACTTCACAGGGGGCAATATCCACATTGTCAGTAATTTCAGTTCTAATGGCAATTAACACCCTTGATAAAATAAAAATATTTCTTTATGTGTTTATTAAAATTTTCAATCACTGAAATATTATTTATATGTAATATATTTATTTTAAAACTATTTTTTTTCCTATGATTAAAAGAATTACCTTGCTCTATATGAAATTCCTTCTCCCAAACCAGTATTGAGTGTAGAGTGTTCATCAATTAAACTATAATCGCGAATACTACCATACATGTGAAGAAATGCGGGACCAAACGTTGGTAAAAATCCTTTTTCCCCATCATTACTAATTTGCTTCAAGTCGACAAAATGCGTTCCTATCACTGTGGCGTGTAACGGATCGTTATCACACAGTTGGAATTTTATCCTCTGACAAAGAGGTGGAAACATTTCTGTAAAAACTATTTGTTCATTCCAAACTGGTGCGTAGCTGTGTCTCTTAACCGACGTCTTGCCCTTTAATTCCATTAATAAAAAAAAAATACAAATTAATTAATAGACAATTTTCAAGGAAAAAACAGAATTCTACTTACACTTAATCCTGCAAAAGACACAAGTACATAAGGATCAACGAGATCCTTTACTTCACCGGTGAAAACTTTCTTCACATTTGCCATAATGCTGCTGTTCATTTTTGGCAGGCCATCGGCTCTGTAAATTTTGACAATGAATTTTGCCTTTTGCCTTTCAATTGGAACACCATCCGGTAACAATAGATTTCCTTCTATATCGTCCTCATCTTTTTCACTTTTCGGGGGAATTTTTACACTATCGCCCTTGCCAATTACACTGATATCACATTTTAAATACCCTTTAGGACCACTTGTTATGTCATCGGGATCCGTTAATAATGCCCACTTGTGATAAAATTGTTGATCTGTAACAGGATTCATTTCAGGCTATATAAATTATAAACTTACACCAAAAAGAGGAAAATTAAATAAAGTAAATAAACATTTTTTTACTAATAATACTACTACTGTTATACTGTTAGCCCATTTTTTGTTTCCTCACACAGTAAACAGACATTTAATTTTCATTCAAAATTCAAATCAATGCAGAGCTCGGTAGTTGTTATTCGAAGATATAACTTGCAATTTCTGATAGCCAATCAGAATCGTATATTATTGAAATCGATTTATCGATAAAATCGTTTCACAACAAGTACCATCACTTATGTTTATGTATGGCGGTATTTCATAACTAAATGTTTGTTTTTATAATTAATTGTCATGTATCAGAGGTGTTATACGTAGAATAATAATAAACTTAATAATTTCTGAAGTAGATTATAAAACAATTTAATTGACTTGATATAATTCACCGACTCAACCCTGTTTTATGGCGCTATTTTCTCGTCACAAATTCACAACTACCCATCACTGAAATTGAGATTGTTGGAATGTAAGAAAACGGTTAAGAAATTTAGTATTATTACGAAATATCTACGATTCAAAAGTTATAATGGATTTTAAGTTTTATTTTGTGAAAAGTTTTAGCATCATTTATTTACAGTTTATTATATAGTTTCATACAAAATGCCAACGCCATTTGATTTTTACTTATGCTACTGCATTATGTTCAATGATGTGAATCTTGAAGCAACGAATATTTTACGAACGAAAATGGAAAAGAAGAAATGAATAAGCTAGTGAATTTATTGTTGGAAAAAAAATCTCGAGGTATGTTTGTATATATTATTTCTTAAATTAAATTTGACTTTAACTGTAATTATGTAATCATATAAATTTTAATAATTTCTAAAAAATTACCTGGTTGAGACCAAACAGTCGCCACATCCAACTTAAAACTTCCCAGTGTCACGTTCGATCGTAATAAGTTTCGTGATTGTTGTACCTTTAATACGGAAGTGTTTTGTAAAAAAATTTAAACATACATATTTTATTGAATATTATAGGTATTTGAAAATATTAGTTATTTTTTTGTATATGATTTTGTTTATAGTTTATCTGAATTGCAATGTTTAAATACTCGTGAAACGAAAATATATAAATCATTTGATAGGCAAAAGTTTTAATATAAGAAATAAGTTTTCAGTTTAAGTAGGCTATTTTTCATTTTCTTAACTTTATTTGAAATCTGACTGCGTTTGATATTCAAATGGGGCGACTTGCTTACCGAGAGAGTGATGATCTTGTCAAAGAGCATTACAGGCGGCATATGAAAGTCGAATACAAAATACTGTAATTCAAAAGACAAGATTTATGATATCTAAATGTAAATATGATACTAAAATTGAATTATTTCAATAAAACTGTCTAAAATAATTTTTTAAAAGACAAAATGGAAAAATGTTGTTTTGGGTACGTTATTGTATGCTTCAATTTTGAAGTAATTAAAAAGTTTAGTTATTTTTATTGTAAAAATTGAAAATATTTGCAGTTTTTCTACTTATTATAATATAATTTTTAAAGATAAATATTTTTCTTCTTTTGAATTGAAATTCTTCATCAAACAAGTTACCTCATTATAGTAAGGACAATTCGTTGATTCTTTAACGCTCGTGTATTTTCGTTGGTCTCCAACTTGAACACACACAATGGGATCCATATTAAGGCCAGCTAATTGTCTCGCTTCGATAATTGTAATACAAACTTGATAGTCTTGTGCTTTTAGTGCGCCCTGTCCAGTATCACTGGTCTATAATCAGAAAAATGAGAAAAATGAGAAAAAGGAGAATTATTTTTCAATTCTTCCATCTCAGTATCAAACTATATTTATTTTGTGTTCGTTCACCTTAGGTTTAGTTTTTTTTAAAGGTTTAACGTGTACATCTTCCGGTTGGTCGTTGTTTAAGCTAATTTGACTTTCATTATCAGAAGGATTAATGTCTAAAGAAGATAGTGAGTTTGTCC